ATGTCTTTAGTAACAAATATGTATGTGTCTACAAGGTTAGATTTACTTCAGCCCCTGAAGTGAGGCCTGTTTTACTTGTGGATGATGTACCTTGGGATTTCAGTGCCTAAATTCCACCTAAGTTTCCCTTTGAACAGTTAAGTGCTTTTTGGGTCTGACATCCAGCAGCTCCGCATTTAAGCACATAGTGCAGAGGAAACATTGCCGAAAGAGATGTAAGTGCTTAGGGCAAGAAAATTGTGCCTCTCTAACATACTAAAATTAAGTCAATTGTGCAGCTGCTGAGAGTAGAGGGAATGGTTGATGTAATTTATTTGGATTTTAAAAAGAAAAAAAAAAAAATCCTTGTAAAAATGTCCCTACCGAGAAGCTGTTTAAGCAAAGCAGTATTGAGGAAGTGAGAGCTAAAGTAGTTGAGCCTTAGAAACGAAGAGGGAGAGCAGGATTAAATGGACAATTTTTTTATCATGGCAAAAGGCTAATGGTATAGTGCCCCAACAGTCTGTATTCAAACTGGTGCTATCTGAAAAAGGGAATGAAAACGCTATCTGAAAGGTGGCACTGTTTGCTGCTAACAGAGAATTAGTTCAGTTAATCAGAACTCGGGAAGATTGTGAGTGACCTGGGTTAACAAAGTGAATAAATGGGCAGTGTGATGCAGATGAAATGCAATGCTGACAAATACAAGGTCGGGCGCGTATTCAGGGGAATAATTGCAAGTATTTGTAGGCTTTGCAGGGTTCTAAATTAACCATAACTATTTAGGTCATTACTTGCTATGATCAGCTTAGTGGAAAAAAATTGTGTTGTGAAGGGATACTATGAAAACAAAAGATGATGTGAGACCATGTGGGGGGAAAAATAAAAAAGCCCAGAACAGAAAATACAATTCCATCCATAAATCAACAATAACAATTCACCCATAATTTGAAAGCATGCTGACAAAACGTAATTCTGTGGACTGGCAACTAAATGATTAGAGAAATGGAGGAGGCTGAAAACAAGGGTTTGTTTAGAAAGGAGTCAAGTAATAGGAGACAGAGGGGAAGTATTTAAAACAATGAGTGGTATAAAGAATACAAGCTAAGAAGTTTCTATTTATTGTGCTAATGCGAAAAAAAGAGAAGCAAAGTGGTATATTTAAAGTGAATGAAAATGAATTATTTTCATGAAAACCTCGTTAACCTTTGGGAGTCATTCTCTTAAGCAATCATGGAGGCTGAAAGATCAGCAGCATTATTGAAAGCAATTCTTACGCTACAAGAGGACTGGAACGGTTATTCCAGATAGCGATTCAATGCTGCTCCTTCAGAATCCTGCTTCTCCGTCAGAAAAGCCTGTACAGATACTAACCTGCTGCTTCCTATTTGTGAATCAGACCTTTTAACGTGCAGAGATGGTTTTGTGCTCAGCTTTCCTGCCTCTAAACTTCAAAGTGGTTGGCAGCGCAGTCTGCATTGCGTCTCCATTGGGCTCCTACTCCAACACACAGAAGGAGGTGTGCACCCAAGGAAGAAATGGTTAAGAATTACATAAACTTTGCTGTAGAAGAATTTTCTTGGTAACAGTCCCTACTCTGAATGTTATTTCTGTGACTGTGACTTCCCCCGTCTGGGATCCTGGACTGACGACTTCAGCAGCTGGTGCATTATATGGAAAGGTCTTTTAAAATCTCCTTGCTGCCGAGTTGAGGCTTGTATGATTTTCAGGAGCATTATAACCACTTCGGCTGCACCATGGTGTGATCCGTTTCACATGCCAGGAACTTTGATGGGGAGCAGCTGAGATTAATGATGACATAATACAGTAAGAAGAGATATTAATGCTCTTAGGCATGAATTAATGAAATACCATTGAGAATTTATCCTGCATGAATAAAAGGATTTGGAAGTTGTCGTTCTAAAAATCACATGAAGGATTTTACTGAAAAAAAAACCAAACGCTCTGTTGAAATAGACAGGGTCCCAATAAACCTTTACTCCAGACTTTTGTTGGAGCTGGATGATTGAGCTGGATCCATTAATTTGAATTCCTAGTAATTTACGAGTGTTTATATAAATGAGAGGCACAGGTCTCTTGCTTCAAGGGCTGTGGCAGTGCTAATTTTTACCCCCAAATTCAGCGCAGAGCTGGATTCCAACCTGTGGTGTAGCTGTGGAGTACAGACCAGGCATGCCAGTGGCAGCCATAAATCCGGGGTCCTTATCTCATAGAGCAGCCATAGGGCAAGACCCTTCCTTACTGAAATGGTAGCAATGCTCTTCTTCATAAACGTGGAGGGTGACTGTCACCATCTGTTTAAAAAAAATCTGTGTGCTTTACTGCGACCTCCCTGGCGTAAGGGTCTTTGCAGGGCAAGAGCTGTGTCCCATCACTTTTCATTCTCTGTCGTCCCCTAGAAGTAGTGACTTAAAACCCCAGTGACGATGTTTGTATATGTATGTTTACCTGTAGCTTCTCTTGATTTAAAAAATAATTTTATTCGGGGATGACACTTTACACTAGCATATGTTGTCACAACATCAAGTCTAGAAGACAAGTTTTGTTAGTTTTGAGGCAAAGTGGAATATCAACAGTATACAGAACTGTTTACTTTGTTGTTGTTGTTGTTCTCTTGATGTCTGAGTAGTTCAGAAAAAAAATTCCTTAAAAATTAGGACATAAAATATGACACATATTTTATCCATAACTTATGTCAATTTGAAACACCTTTTATTGCCTACATAAGTGAATATATGTAAACTTTATTAGTAGTTTCATTTCCAATTTAAAAGAAGCAAAGGTGTATTGTAGAATTCACAGATAAAGGTTTAATTTTAACTATAAAGGTATTACCAGTGTTGCATTTCTTCATGTTATGGTTCACTTATGTAGAATTGAGATGTATTTTCTATTAAACAATGCATAGCACCATTATACAACAGTTCACTAAATGCACATCCCATTTAATCTTTTGTAGGAATTAATATAACTGGACTGAAGTTACAAGGAAGAATTGAACTGAGCCAGTAGGGTTAACACTGATACTAACAGGAGATTACTAGCCATAAGAAAATTACAGCTCTTCTGAAAGACAGTGCCTAAAATAGCAGCATATCCTTGGCACCATCATAGGAACTGGTTAACTGATGACCCTGAAGAAACACTTGTTTCCATTAATTCTGCTGTCATTATTTCACTATTCTCGAACTCTTCCTCTGAATTCTTCTGTCCTTCTGATCCCAAGACAAGATGGCAGGAACGTGAGAGAGAACATAAAGAAATTACAATAATCTGTCGGCTATATAATTATATTGTAACCTACTACACTGAGAAGTTACACCAACAGAAATTTGGCAAGGTACAGCCTGCTAGCTGCTAGCTAAACACAGGACACTCACTAGCATAACATTAAAAAAAACAGGCTCACTAAAAAGCAACATCTACGTTACAGAGAAGCTAACAAAAGAATTCCCTTATGATACTTAGGTTCAGCTGGTTCATCTTAGGTTCATCAGCTACATTTTCTTGTTTTATGAATACTTGTTACATTTGCAATTGAATATATATTTAAGATCACAACGCTACAAACCTTTTTCCAGCATGTAGTTTTGCCACCTTTAGTTAGACACAAAGGAGTACTTGCTCGAACTAGGGTTGAAGATTCTGCTGAGAATCGGTGATGTTATTAGGTCATGTGTACTGTAATTACTTGAGCACCACAATTTTTAAATCCCTAAGACATGATTTCCTAGGTAGAAGGCAGCAAGTACGCTTTTAAGTTGCCAGACAGACCAAGGGAATCATTTTTGCTCCAAAGAGTCTGCTATATACCCTGAATCAGAACAAATTCTTATTTCATAGAGACTTCTGACGTTTAAAGCGTGTCTACTAAATGGAAGTAAACAGTTTCTGATCGAATTTTAAATGTTCCAGTGACTCTACTGTAAAGATAGTAACTTTTATGTGTTAAGGAACGTACTGGCAAGAGTTAACAGTAGGGTCTATGGTGAAGATGCCTTTTTCTTCAAGAACAATTGCTACGGTGTCACAGGTCTGATTACAGATATATTGTGGTTACCTGAACCCCACGGTTCCATCTCAACCTGGATTTATTTTTTTTTACGGAGTCTGAATTGTCTCAACAGCAGGAAGTCTTGCCCAAAATATTCTTCTGAAATCCAAACTTTTTCAAAATGCATCAATTTATTTTCCAAATGGCCTTTATCTATTCCAATGCATTAGAAGGTAAGAGAATTGATACAACTTTCAAATGAAATTTTGCTGTTCTCATATATATAGTCACAGTGGCCACGCATGAAACTGCGGCCTCTGAGATGACGGGGCCTTAATTTTAGAGTTATTTGGAAGAACAGAGTTTTGGAAGCTGTGACAACTGAAGTCCCTGGTGTTATCTTTGAGAGGCCCTGGTTGAGAGGAACAAAAGAGGCTTGGGAATCAAGACAACAGAGACTTCAGACTTCTAATTTTGCCACTGATTTGTAGATCACATCTTGGGCATCAACTGCCTTGTGCAGTTCTCTAGTCTGATAAAAATGGGGACAGTCATGCTTATTTATCTAACTCAAAACAGTGCCATGATGGATTAATTATTTGGATAGCACTCCGAGTGCTATCCAAATGCTGCTTATTCATGTTTTTCCCACTGCAACAATGTATCTTCATCACTAATAATTAACTGCTAATTACTGTTGCTGAGAATATGATAGCGGTGTTTACCACCTTATTTTTAATTTCAGTAGAAATGCCTACTTAAAAGTTATGTAAATATATGAAATTACAGTACATTTTCCTAATGACCCTGCTATGTCTGAGTTTGATCCTATTCAACTGTGACTAGAGTAATGAATAGTAAAGACGACCTTTTTTCTGTAGAGCTATATAGACAGCTTCTATTGTATTCACGAAATGTAAAGAAGCCATTCTAAGCAGGATACAGCTGGGTCGAAGGACTGCTGATGCCAATTATGCTTCGTACATAATAATGCACATTTTACCTATTTGGAAAAAAATTCACATTTATTTACTGTCAAACAGGTGTTAAACTTTACACTGGATATTAGTGATGGGCTCATTATTAACAGGTTTACACAAAGGGATGAAAAAAGCAGAATTTTGTTGAAACAATTTACATTTCATTAGATTTTTATCATAAAATAAATTAATTACTAAATATAGGCAGAAGGAATATGGAAGAGTAATAGTTATGTTTTATTTATTTTTTTTTGAAGGACAGGCACCTTTTATTCACGAGAAAGCTTGTGAGAAGTGTCCAGTGTCCCCTTTACCCCTTACCACCCAACCCTGATTAAAGAATGAACAGGGAATTGAGTTACAATCTTCGTTAGCTATACCAAATTTGTGCAAGGCTCGGCATAATTGGCTTCTAAAACAATTTTCTCCCCAAATTATGGTTTTTGGCAATAAAAATTCAAAACGTAAGAATAAAAACTAACTTGTCAAAGCAGAACACTGTTTACAGTGAAAAATAAGTGAAAACGGGTAGAACTTGCATTTTAAACATACTACCATACTATGAACAGAGTGTAAGAAAAACAGCTTATAACATATGTGCAACCAAGAGCTTTTCACAATATTTTCTTCAAACTCTTTAAATTTTTTTTTTAATGACAATTATATTTCAGTTGGACACAAATGTCTTTATTTTACCCTAGCAATAGAACAAAATATAATTTCTTTAGCCATTTTTTCATGAGAACGGTTCATTGTACAGTTGAGGAAATATATGAAATAAGGCCTGTGGCTTGATTGCTAGTGGTTAGACAAGTATTCAATCTTTGCCCTAATGGAAAAGATTTGCAGTGAACTGCAAACTGATGCAGAATATCTCTCCTGCTTTTGCAAGTCTTGTCAGGAATAGTAAGGTACAGTAAATTTGTCCCACAGGATTTTAGAGCCTACGCCTTGTATATAATACAATGTAGGCCTAGAAAAAAAAAATGGTGCAGCCATATTTACAAATTTAGTTCACAAACTGCTGCAGTAAAATGGCTGGAAAGTGTTTATTTCTCTTTTTTTTTCACAATTTTGTTAAATTCAGCAGCAGAAGATATCTTAAAATACCTTGTTGGTATTTTTCTTTGTAACAAATAATTCATTTTAGTATACTCTGTGTATATACAAAGTTTTTGTTTTATAAAAATTCACAGAACTGCGAGGTCCAGTCATCCCCGTTACTGGAGAACCACAGGGTCAACAGAATTGTCTCTTCAAGCAGATACGAGGGAGCCTGCTTGGGGCCAATTAAGTCTTTTTAATACTTGTACGTGGCCTTTAATATTTCTTTGCTACACTATTAAAGGCTTGTCACTAGTTGCATTTGTCCTTCTCTAACATCCCCTTCTGGAATACATCCTTCCTTGTTAATGGGAATTATATAGCCGTCGCTATTACCCCTGCTGATTTGATAGTACATCTGAAGCTGATGGCCAGCTCCTAGGTTTGGCATGCTCTTGTAGTAAATGTCCTCATTTTCGCTCCTCCTGGAGGGAGAGAGATCTTCTTCAACGTCGGGGCTGCTCTCTGGATACGGAGAGTCTCTGAGATTGGGCATGCTCGTGTAAAGAGAGTCTCTGTTGGGGGACTGGAGGTGGTCGTCAGCCTCGGCTGTCAGCTGTGAGACGTAGCTGTCGGTTCCCTCGGTCTTCACTTTCTTCTGGGGCTGGTACAGAAGGGAGTGAGTCCGCTGAGGAATGAGTGGGGCCTCAAGCTCTTTGTGGTGGAGCTCCAGCCCGGGGGCGTCACTGTGCATCAAAGATGAGGCATCTGCCACGATGGCGTCATCTTCGCTACTGCTCCCGCCGATCACAGCTTTGGCTGGTAGCGTGCGCTCCAGGTTGTGGTTCTTGCTGCTGCCCCGCAGGTTGTTGTGCACTAACTCTGAAATGATCATTTTCTCAAAAGCAGTATCATTCAGGCTTAGTCCACAGTCTACAACTTGCACACTGTCGTTATAGTCTCCATTGCGCAATGAGTAGCTGTTGTTGAAATTACCATTTAGCGGTAGAGTATCCATGGCACTTGTATCCCTGGCATTGTTCAGTGAATGTCCTGAAAGGGAAAAGAACAGCTCTGGTTATTGCCTGATGTGCTTTTTATCACGTAATTATTCTTTTTTAACAAAGTTCTTTAATGTAGTTCAGGACAAAGTTGTACTTGAAAGTGAGACTTGAGAAAAGTTAGGTTATTGAACATTCCCAAATGTAAACAGTTGCACACCTTATAGGAAAGATGCATTTTAAAAATAGTAACGCCTATTTCCTGTGGGGAATAGTGGCATTTTAATTTCTTAATTTAGTGTCAATTCTGTGACTTCTCCACAAGGAACTGTTCACTCCATGCCCTTGCATATGTAATGCAAAGCAATTCATTTGGAAACATCTATGTTTTGAAGTACACCACCATGATTTAGAAAAACAAAATTAACAGAATTTGTCCTAAACGACACTAAATTAAAAAGGAATTAGATCACAGACATAACTGAAGGTAAATGTACAACATAAACCCACATAACTGGCAAGCAACTATTTTAACAACATTTCTAACATTTTTCCTTTTTTTTTTATTTTTGAGATGAAGTAAAGAAAAGAATGAAAAAAATGGATAAATACAAAGAATTTATGTTAAACAAGGACAGCCATCTTTCACACTACAGGGACCAGGGCCCACAAGCACCATCCAACAACACGATAGACAGCAGGTGGAATGACTCACTTTGGACAACTCACATCATGTCTGTCTGCTCAGGCTATCTGGCCTAAGAGTAGCTGATATATAAAAGAAAGTAAAATGATTTATTGTAACATGATGAAGAATTACTGAGCTTCTCAGCAACTTAGTCAGAGCAAGGGTTCAGCAAATTAGATTACTAAGCAATAACAGCTTTTCTTTTCCCACTTAATGTAATTTTTTTGCACTAATATTCTGTCTGCCAACAACGGCCCCAGGCTTCTAAAGGTCAAAGTTTGCCTGCAGTCTGCATCAGTCACAGTGACAGCGCTGAATGAACCAGAATAGTTAATTAAGAGTTAGGCCCACAGTTACCATGGGCATGGAAGTCAAATGCAGAAATGTTAGGAATTTCTGTAAGTATGGGTCACAGAAATTAAACCAAAGAATAAATATTAGTTGTGGAATGGGAAGAGGAAATCAGCCACGGCTGATATCTCATAGCTGCTGGAGGAATGACAGATTGGGTAAGTCTGCTGGAAACATGAAAAGAAGTTTAAAGGGGGGGGGATGAAGTCTTATGATGATTAAGGTCTTTATGTTTTTGGGTTTGGCTTTTTTTTTTTCGGTAACACGATAAAGAAAAGGTTTTCCTATAGACACAAAGACATGTAAACTATGACAGCACAGTGCTTCCCAAGCAAAGGAAAAAGAAAAAGAAAAAAAAAAAAAACTTTGAAAAAAATTAAACAGTCTGAACCATGGAAAGTCAGATGGTTAGTGCATTCCTAGAAAATCACTTTATCTACAGATATGTCTGGAAGTAAAGAAAGAATGGAGTGACTTTACTGAAATGAGACTGACCACTGTGAGGCTGCTGCATTATATGCAAGGCTTGGAGGAGTATAAGAAAAACATTGTTTTGGAAAAGATTATACATTTTCCCATTTGTTTGTTGGTTGTTTTTTTTTTCATAATTAAAGCTGCAGCTTATCCTAGAAAATCCAATCTTCTCTGGAAAATATTGTTTTCAATTAAAAAGTAATTGCATTTTCTCATGAAAAGATTTTTGTCTTCAACTTTAAAAAATAGAGTAATAATTTCCAAATAAATTCTGAGTAATTTACAAATCATTTTGTATTTGCATTATTGTTAACTTCTCTCCATGTGTACTAATTTAAACAGTGATGAGGGTTGTTTGAAAGGTCTCTTTAAGCTTTGATTAAACAACTTTGTAGTTTTGCAATTTCATATACGTTCCAAGATTTTTCTTGCAATGGATTTAGCTGAATAGAACATATGGCATTTATAAACGTAGACAACACATGGACCACATGCTGGGATTCATTTCCCTCATGAAAGTGATTTAATTCTATAATTTTAATTCTCTTTTCTTCTGCTAAACAGATACCAAAATATATCTGATGATCCAAAATGAGTTTTCTATGATATACTGCAGAGTTAAGAATGCTAGAATATATTCAAATTGGTTTGATGAGGCAAATTTTGTTGCCCACGATCAGGTAATTCATTTGAAATCTTTCCATAGCCTGTAGCAAGATTACTGTGGGAATGTAAAAATATAAGTAAATTGTTGAGCATTTCTGCTTGACACTACTTTGGTTTTAAACAGCAAATTGTTTCAGCATTGCATAACTTCTGTTACCAATAGGGTTTGCTACAGACCTCACGTCGTTTCCCAAAAAAGCAGTATGCAAGTACTTTTTGAATGTGGAAACGTTTCATTTGTAAATTGTGAACCACTTGCCCGCTGAGTCTACTTCATGACCGCTAGTTATGTTTTAATTGTGCCCATTAAAAATCATGCTGAAAAAATTTACATTTGATAGGCAAAGTTAAGTTTTACTCCCATACTTGTCTCTCTGTAGGTTGCTAGAGGAAAGCATAAGGAAAGTAAGAAAACAAGAGAATGAAAATAGAAACTACAGTTCAGTTAAAAAGGAAACTTGAAATAAACACTGGAAACAAGGTTTTATGAGCTCCTTATCAAAGATTTATCATTGCAGTTATACTACAGTGATCCTATGACCCATCAAACAGTAACTGCTAGATATTTACTGATGAATTGCACTGCAGTTAAAAAATGCAACTAGATAACGTAACAACAAAATGTTAGGTAGGTGATGACACCCTTTATTCCTGCAGAACTAAACTGTTCTAACTGTTAATCTCAAGATCTTCCTACAGGAAAATGATCTACCATAAAGCTGCACTATACTATAGTTTAGATCTATTTGACGCTGGATACAATTTTCTACACTGGGGTATCCAAAGGTGTCAAGATGCCTTGCGCTGCTTTAGTATCTAATCCGTTCCATCAGCAGGTTTTTCTCAGCAAGCTTTAGAGTCAACCTTATATTGCATAGACATGATACCTCTAAGTGATATATATCTTGAAGATGGGCTCTCGGACCATGTGGTGTCAGTCCTGTAATAGTATATTAAGATTTATGCCACCTGTGTTAAAAACATGGATAATTATTGGTAAATACTGTTATGGCAAAGGCATTACTATAATATAGTGCAGTTTTACAAGCTGACATCGGCAATACTGTATTTCTCGAACTGACAGAAATTCAGAATGTACGGCTAGGGTATTGCAACTTGAGTTTCTATCTAGGGGAAAGAAGGCATTTGGAGCGAGCCAAGAAAAGCGGTTTTATTCAGGAAGTATAAGCACACCTGGTGAGTTAAACACAGGAGCTGAAGGGGCATTACATACAACTGTTTCAGCGAGCAATGTGTTATAGGGGTTGTTAGTGCCGTGTGGTCGAAGAAGAGGGTTTGTTAGTAGGTAATTGCCAGTCATTCCTAAAGCAAAAGAAACAGAAAAAAATGTCAGTTCTTTAATTTTAGGCTGACAGTTTCAATAAAGAATATTTTTTATTCATCATGAATCATGTAGGACTTGTCAAATGTAATTCAGCTGAAAATTTCTGAATGTATTTGAGCTACGTATTTGAAATGGGAGTAGGAAAATACAGTTAGATTCCAGTAATTCACAGGTGCTATCCAAATCCCCAAAGTAAACATCTGGTGCGAGTGACATTTACTAATGTATACAAAATCACTGTTACACAAGAATAGCAATTAAATGTGTAGAGATCAAGGTACTACATAAAGCGATTATAACTTTAAAAATGATTGTATGGAACACTTCTGTCCAGAATCGAGAGAACTGAATTTCTCAAAGTGAAAGGTATTGAAAAATCTCTTATGACAGGATCAGAGCTGTTATTCACTTTATTAAAAACACATGGATAATGGAAGGGAATTGCTGTTTTCAAACAGACAGTGGGTGACAAACGGGAAGAAGCATATCTTAGTATATGCAAAAGTATGCATGCTGAGGGGAAAGCAAAATATTTGCTCTAAGAAATCAGAGCATTCACATTTTCTCCCGGGACATTCATGCTGCAAATTTATCTGCCAGGTTTTAGAAAAGAATTCCTCGAATGACAAATTTTCTTTAAATGATCAGTTTACAAACAATGTACGATGAAGCAAAATACTACATGAATAGATTTTTTTTTTAAAACCCATTTTACATGTTAATGCAACACCATTTAAACAACTCTCGGAATAATTAGAAAAAAAATCAGCATATCTTGAGATATTGTTAAAAAGTCAATTAATCTCTGATTTCCAGCTACTAGAAGAAAAATGGGTTGGAATAATGACAAAAAATCCACGCACGAAATGCTGTGATTTAAAACTAACTTTAAACATTTCATTAAGGTAAAATTCCACTTTCTTTTCTATTGCATTGCACAGCAGTATATCAGGATCAGTGTATTACAGAGCCCAGGACAACTAAAGTGCCAGCTATATTTTTATAGTATAGATATTTTTATTTGGTAAGGAAAAGATAGTATATATTCCAAATACTAATGCTTTTGTACTACAATAGATGCTTGGTAGAAGAAATGAGAGGAAAATTCCAAGATTAAGAGAATTATTGCCTGATTATTCTAATCTTATTTCAAAGTTTGTATCAGTTAACAATTAAAAAGATTTTATCATACTTTTTTCAGTTGTAATGTACTTATTACGAGAATTACTAACTGAAATACATTTTGCTTGGGTTTGTTTGGGTATTTTTTTGTGTACTATGTTTAATCTTTGTTAGAATTATTACCTGTAATCTATAGTTAAGAGATTTTTTTTTCTCAATCTAAAATTTTTGCCACCTTTAAAAGCTTGATTTTTATTTTAAAGGAAAGATGACACTTGCCATTAATTATTAAATTATCCCTATATGTATGAATCACTGAGATAGTGACAATATTATACCAGACTAAAGATTATACCAGTTTTTCTAATCATGGCAGAACATCTCCAGTGACTTGAGACCAGAGCTCAGGGAGAAGCTTCCAAGACCTCTGTTCAACTCTGAATTAACTGAGGGTTGCAGCATGGTTGGAGCAAACCTCAGGAGTCAGAGACATCAAATTAAGGTAAAATCCCAGACTTTTATCTATAGTGTATTTACAGGATTTTAAGAAGACACTGGAATGCAATATACTTCTTTCTCGGGCGTGAAAAATATACATTTTCTACTTAGGAGAAGTTACTTGATTTTGATTTTGCCATAGGAACATACAAGACTTAGATGGTGGGAGCAGTGAGATGCACAGGTCTTATCTAGAATCATGCTTTCTGAAATCTTTTCTTTTGCCAAACACCATACTTTCACTTCCAAAATAAATGTGAGTGAAGTACATGCGCCCACCAAACCTTGAAAAAAAACCAAGGGAGGAAAATTTGGTAGTTGTGTCGATGAGGGCTTTACAGCAGCCCTGACAGTGGTGAATTTTCTGTTTGAAACTTTCGGAGTTGAGCAGGAACTGGTCACAATGAGATCAGGGCTACGTGTTCTTCTCCTAGGGACGCGGGTGGAAGAACAGGCTTTGAACTTGGCTTGCACAGAGCAGTCTTCCCTCCATTGCTAGCTCAAACTGCCTTAAAAAAAACGCAGGGGGAAGAGGAGAAAGGAAGGGACATTCTGTCTTGGTTCATACCCTTGCCTTCTAACTGGACATGAGAATGAGGTTACAGATTTCAAAGTCTATTTGAACTGAGAAATCTGGAGTTTTGGCTTCTCTGTGCCTGAAAATCTGGATTCTATCCCATGTGACAGATACGATGCTCTTTGAAATAGAAAAGATAAATGCTTTACAGACATCTTTTGCATAGAAATGATATCAATTAGATTTCACTGGGAAAATTTCTGCACCTAAAAATCATAGTCAAATATGCATTAAAATGTTACTGCACTCATATTTCTGTTTCAGATTTAACCTATAAAGGTTAGGAAAGATTTAAAATTATGATCTTGCTTTTAAGTTAAATTATTGATGAAACTTATTTAAATACATTCCCACAAATGGAGGAATTCAACTTCTATAGCGGGGGGCCAGCTGAGGGAACATGGTTTTAAAATGTGCTGGTGGATGACTTTAAAACTCTGCTTTTAGAGAATATTTGTTCCAGAATTTTTTTTCAAAACATTCTTTTCAATTCTTCAGTGTTAAATGATATAAAATCTCTATAAAATTTAAGGCTTCTAAAACGGAAATGTTCCCAGTGACTGACCTTGATTAAGTGTTGAAGTGCTGTTGATGTCACCTGAGATAAAAGATGATTCAGATTGTTTTCTCACAGTGTCATTCCACATCCTCCTTATACGACTCTGTTAACATAAAGCAGTGAGACAGAAGTAAGTTACAAAAAGATTTTTTCCTACTTATGTGCTATTATGTAGAATATTTGTGTTTATTTTGGCCTAAAGTAAGCCATTCTTCTACTACGGAGTGAAACTCCTTCTTTTGTTATTAAAACTCTAATTTATTAAATTTCATTTAGATGAAACATGGTGGTATAAACCTTCCTATAAACCAGCCCCTAATTACGAGAAAAATAAGGTGTTTGCATTAGACCAAAGTAAACAGAAATGTTTGAAAAGAATCAACTCTACTATGCAGAAGTACGTATTTGCCATCTAAATGATAATACTAAGAAGACAATTAGTCCTTCTGATTGTCACACATCTCAGTAGGCTTTTTATAAATAAGGTTAATTAAAAGATGCTGTCAAAATCTTTGTTACCTGAGTGCCAGAGGAATAGCGAGCACTAGTTCTCGTTGTCGATGCCTTCACTGAACTGTGGGGACTCTCAGTTGGTAGTCCACCACAGCAGTAGGAATGTCGGAAGCATTTGCCATATTCCTTACGTACCTATGGGGCGGGGGGGAAATTACTTAGCACAAAAAATAGTGTCAAATATCTCTGCTGGCAAAAAGACACGAACTTTGCATTGAAACTACTCACGCACTTTTCAAGCAAATAGGTAATTCTTGTCTGTTGAATTGCTGGCCATTAGCAATATCAGGTATTTTTCCCTACTTAGTGGCAGCATTATCAGCTATCCAGGATTTTTGAACAAATTATTTCCAAAGTATACACTTTGGAAATGATTTCATTTAGATGGGACTGAATAATCATTACTGAGTTATTTATGGGATTATTTTTATTTCATCTTCATATTGTAGATTAATATAGTTAAGTTTACCTGAATTGAACGCTGGTTGAAAACAGTCCTTTTTATATGAGTTTTTGGTGCAGAAACCACAGAAAGCCTATCCTCCCATCTTAGCAGACACGAAGGGCTGAGGTAACTAGCCTTTGCACGGCTGGGTACCGCCCACTAAGCTATCCCTTCCGAGAAAGTGTGCAAAACCTGCAATGACTCTAAAGGCATTCTCATATAAAGTCACACCTGCTTTGGGATCGTACAAAGCTCACAAACGCCCCTGCCCCGGTCCAAGCAGAGCGCCAGCTATGCTGGTGGAGGCACCGTCAGTGTTTCAGAGTTAAATTTTGAACCATAAAGGCTGGGAAATGAAGCACTTTTCACTTCTAGGACCAAAAAATAAAATCCTCATTACTGCCTTCGCTGAACCTAAACATCTGAATAGGCCTATGAACATGAGATTTTTGTCTGACAGAGCAACAAAACTAATTAATGATTCCAGTATCTGGCCTGCATTTGCTCACCTTCTTTTTCCAGTGACCTACTGGAAACTTTAGTTTTGTAATTTATGTGTATTAACGTTTGCCATAAAGCTAATCAGGAATGTGCAGAGCAGTTAATTCTCTCATATTCGGTGACTGCTACACTGACTACTACTTTCAGATGACGGAAGAGTGCATACACATCTCGGCACCATGGCAGCGTCAGTGAAAGGACACAGTGGATAAAATCTTGAAAGATGCGTAAGTCTAAATTTGTAATTCTTCCACCAGATATTTGGAAATCTAAGTGTCACTTCTACATCAATGAGGCTCCTAAATTTCTGGGAAAATTGGTATTTCAGCTAATCTGGGCATTCTGCTTGACCTATGAACATACAGGACAGAAAGAAAGTTATGTACGTAAAAAGGGGGGAGAGGGAAATGCAAAAAGTTAATAATGTGGACTTACATATACCATGTGCTGTTTTCAATATTAAAAAGATTTTACTCATGGAATACATACTGTGATGTTTCCATAAACCACAAGGTTGAAGAAAATTCGAATAGCTGGTGCCTTAACTTCAAGCTAGGGACAATAACTCATCTTTTTATAAAAGTATATGGTACGTATTTTAAGTGAATCCCTATCTATATCAGCACAAAAGACACATAAAAAACAGAAACAGAAATGCACAGACATAGAATTATAATTTTTAACTCTGTAGTCTGAAAAACATAAGTCAATATACATTATCACTAGATGGTATAACACCTAAGAAAATACATTCCTGAACACTAATGGATATTAAATGCTCCAAACCACTACATAGTAGAGACAATAGCAATCAAAACTGTATTTTTACCCAAATACCACCCTCCAGGGCTGGTTTTGCCTAATGCCTATATTGCAGTGAATGTACATTATCTGTCAGTACTGCGCATTCCACTGTCATTATTTCTAAATTATAGCTTGTTGGAAACTGATGGAAGCAACAGCACTATCATCCTGTCAGAACTGGAAACATAATAGTTTTCACTTTCACAATTCTATTTCTCTGGTCAATTTAGTGACCAACTAGTAATAACAGAATAAAAAGACTACATTAGCTATGCAGACAGAGGATGATATCCAGTCAAAGGCAGCAAAACTTAAAAATCTTAAATGGCAGCTTTAACATTCTTTCAGGTATAAATCTTATTGCTCTAGGTTATGCTTCTTCACACTTGACTGGTATTTTAATACTGCTTTTTGCTGACTCCACTTAATATAAAAACAATGCACAGCTGTAAAAAGAAAGAAAAGAGGAATCTGTTTTTGATTTTCAAGTCCAATACAAGTGGCAGAAAGGGCAACATTATATGAAACCCTAATCTAGAAATTATTTGCATTTTGAGACTGTTTGCATTTCCTTCCCTCTCTTCTTAGGCTCAATCTCCTCCCTAAGTGTGCTTTTGTTCTCTGAAAATGAGAGGAGTGCCGTGTTCATCTGGATAAAATTCTTCCTGTCTAACAGATCTTTTTCTAAAACATGGCTGAGTGCCATTGTCTACACCAAATTTAGAGACGCTAATACTGTTAGTGCTGGTACAGTTGAGAACACACAAGAATGTGATTTTTGTATTTACACAGCAACGCTTTATCCAATGGTCTCAAACCATTTTATAAATATCAGTTAATTATGTCTCTGGTGAGCTAATTATAAGGGGAGTTAATAATTGCTAGGTCTCAAGCCTAAAACTGGTAAAAATATTTAGAATCTAAATATTGCAAATTGAGTATATGCAAATGCAGGATGTACTGCATTTTATTTTAAATTTTTTTGGGTGGGATTTTGTGACATTTACCCTTCTTCTGAACTCTTGTTTACTTTCATTTGCTACGTCTTCTAACACAGGCTATGAGCTTTTTTCTTTTGTCCTTCACTAAAGCACCTCTAAGGCATCCTTGGAAGCAGTGTGCACCCGTAGTCTGGGGAAGAGAAGAGGTACAGGGAACCCAAAGAGAATCCCACCTGGCTGCACCCTTCACTTCCTTCTCTCCTCTTCGCTCCTGTCCCCCATGCAAGCCTTCCCTCTCCCCAGCAGATCGGCTCCTTCTGGACCCCTCTGCTCCCATCAGGCGAAGGGGAGCAAAACTAATTTAGCACATCCCACTCTTGCCAGGGAATTCCACTTTTTCCAGTTAAGAGTATGAAGCTGTCAGATTGCTGAGGGAGCCAAACACTTGAAAAAACTAGTCATGCTGGCATCTTTGGAAACCTCTCCCCATTAGCAGTTGTCTAGCATTAATGACTGCTTTTTTCTAAGGTGTGTTGAAGTTCATAACAAAATTAATTTTTAGATCTCGCTTAATTTTGTAATGAATGAGCACTCATAGTACAATCCCTGCCTATCACCTGTAGCTTTATGCGGCAGCTTAATGGGATCTCAGGAGAGGTCCTCTGCCTTGATCTCAGAAAGAGTTTCCAGGCTGAGTTGGGCTGATATTGTAAATGATCCTTTCTTTGCAGTGCTGCAGTGGAGGCACGATGTGTTTCATGTGCACATAAAGGACTTTTGGCGGTAAGTCCAGACTAATATGTACCACATTACCAATGTTAAACAGTACATTTTCTATCATAATTTTCCTCCCAAGGCCTCAAAACTTTTCAAGCCCAGGTTTGAAATGCTGCATCTATTTTAAACCTGCCCAGGCCACAGAGCAGTTACCTGACTCCCACAGGTACACACAGCAAGAATTGCTTTTGAATCTTAGTCCTCTCCTCAAACCACTTCAAAACACTCCAGTTCTTGACATTGCTATTTTTTTCTCTACTTTTTAAGAAATATATGTGGTATTTTTAAGGAGCTAGGGAACACGCGTCTGTGTGTTCAGTAACTTACTTTCTTTTGAAGGGCACAATGAAAGATGAAAATAAACATTCCTTGGAAAGCATTAAATACTGTGAAGAGATAGGTCATCACAACAGTCCCCTCATTGATAAACAGCAGGCCAAATGACCATGTTAGGCCAAGGAGACACAGGAGAGCAAATGCACCCAGGACCCAGGATCTGCAAAAGAAAATTAATTTCAGTAACATCACTTACGAGAATGCATGTTGCCAAATCCAATATTAACATTTCAGTTCCCGCAGTTGACTTTTACTAGGTTCATATTCAAATGTAAAAATTCCTTGGGTTTAACCTTTTATCTCTTAAAGAAAGAACAATTCCATTTGGTACTCTTAGTCTCCAGTGAAAACAGCAAGAGTAGATATGACCTTTTTCTTTCTCAAGAACTGCATAGGATGTCAAAACTATTTTGAAATACAGAAGTATAGCACGAGCCCCAGCTACTCCATTGCTTTATCTGCTTTTACAAAAGAGATTGATAAATCTGGCTTAGCCACTAATCACACCATAGATTTTAAACAGTGGTGCTGCCATATGACACCAAATAATGTAACACAAATGCACAAAGGTTAAACAGCAGATTAAAAGCCTAGAGCCCAAATCTTTAATGCTCCGATAAACTCAGCTAAACTGAAGCTAGATGATCTAACTTCCGCATGAAGAGACCCTGCTGAAATGTGACAAAAATATGGATATTGCTCTACAGAATAGTCTAAAAAAAATTCCATCATGAATAGGTTAAGGAAAAGGAATTGTAGAGAACGGCACAGAATGAAAGGGAAAGGGAATTTAGTCAGTGAATTCCACATCTAACTAATGATCTTACTTGATAAATGGCTTATTATCTTCATAGCTAGAAAGCATTATAAGCAGAAAAGAGAAACAAAATTATTAGACAGAATTGAAACAGAAATTAATAAGAGCATTTTTAATTGTCTATAAAAATTAGTCAAAATTAGGAAATTCAAAATGCAGAGGCAAGCAATTTAAAATTATAAAGGCATATAATAGTTAAAAATTCTTTAGCAAATCAGGTATCTCGAAACTAGTTAATTAAAATTAAGGGAAATCCACAATATTGACCGAGTTTGTAAAGTTAAAAATCATGCTAGAAATTTGTTAATGTAGGGTTCTATCTTACCCAGGTAAGTCCGTATTATAGTAGCCATCACAAACACGGTAATTACTGGTGTGGATGAGAAGACAGAAAGAGGAAAAGGAAGAAAAGAGAGAGATGCTAAAGATTAGCTCTCTCTCTCATCATGCAACATGCAATGAAGCTGATACTGACCTATCTAGAACATCTAGTTCACAATGTTAGCCTTACTGAAAATCTCCCTTTGCCATTTTCAACATTCAAAAAGCAAATCTGTAAGACTCTTTCACATCCAACCCTCAGTGTTAGAAAGTTGCACCATCCCTTCAGTGTTGATAACAAAAACCTTCAGTACAACGTAAAGCTATACAGAATACAGTAAAAGACTATCTAAAGAATCAAGAGCTGCCAAAGCCTTGTCAATTATGTAACACTTGTATTACTCTGCAAAAGGGATACTGCGGTACAGCACCATGATAAAGTAAACATTTGTTAAATTAGCATGAAAACAGCAGATAATCTTCAAGTTAACAATAATAATAGAGTGAATTCTCTTGAGAGAACAGGATTACGAGTAGAAACTGCTCAGAATCCCTAAATCAAAAAGTCATTTAACAAAACAAACTTAATATAATCATATCAGCCATGCAAACAGGAACATCATTTTTGAACTCCATTTTAAATGCAAATGAAATTACTACAGTGCTGTGGCATTTCCGTGAAACAGTTTCTTGGCACTAGTTCCAGGCTGAAATTATCTAATTTTGACCGGCGTTTGTGACATTACAGCAACAATGTGACGAAAGCAGGATTGGCTCTGTTTGCTTCTAATTGACATCTGCAGTTGCTGGGAGACAATGGCATGTGCTCCTAATGGAGAGTAGCTTTCAATCAGTTCAGCAATCAGAAAATAATCATAGTTCTCATACTTGAACACAAAGCACTTACTTAATGTTTTCCAACCTGCTAGAGTCTGGTTTCAAAGTGTTTGAGTGCTTCACCATTTTGCACAATGTGATCACCAGGAAGATAAGATTCAGCTGTCAAAACAGATAAGAATGAAATTAAACTACTTCAAGTAATAGGATGAATAATGATGATGTTAGAGACTAAACAAAAACCCCGTAGTTTACTTTCAAATATATAGTGAAACTGGGTAACTGTAGCAGACAGTCTGTAAAAGGTGATTGCAAATATGGATAAGGGGAAAAAAATGTTGGAAGTCCTTCTTTCACTTAATTTTCCAAATTTACCTCATCATCGTGAACAACCATACTTAGCTCATGTCCATCACCTCTCGTGTTCAATCTAGCTCTGTCTTCCAGCATGTTGTGCTCAGCCTCTGTTCACCTTTGCCTGTCACCTCTGGCCCCGTTCCCCATCTTACTGACTTCTTCCGAGGACTATGGTTACCCCTTCACTGTACTACGCTAGCTGTCTTTTATCACCCCGTCCTGCTTCTGGAATGTTTTTCACCTTTGCTGGTTTCTCCCTTTCTTTGTTTTGTTTTTTTTTTTTTAATTCCCTTTTGTTCTCACAAATCCCATTGGGGTCTTGAAAACAGCTTAAATGTAACTGAAGAAAAAGGAAGAGAAAAAGAGAAAGAAACACAAAGATGTAGCAAATTCATCAAACTTAACAGTGCCATAGACATGTGCTGGTGGTCCACCCTCCTACTGCCCTCCTCCCTTTGTAGTCTGGATTCTGCTGAAGCGAGACTGCATGCCCCTTGAAGGAAAGGACTATTCTGTCTCATTCTTGTTGTGTCATTCATACAGATAACACCGAGGAAGATACTGAAGGTAATTTTTTATAGTTTTCCTATTGTGAAACAGAACCACAGAAATCAAAGACACTAGGTGCCTGTCTCCTATCAATTTCAAAGCATGTGAAGAGCATCAGTAAGCCAAATACAAGGATGCCTCTAGAATATGGGTTGAAAAGTGGTATAGAGTTAAGTTGAGTAATTACTATGTGCTGTCCTACATCATGCAGACAATTCAAATAAAATCGTATGTTTGAAAACAGTAAAAGACATGTTCTTCCAGGGAGAAGACATACACCCTTATCTAGTAGTGCAATGGTCCACAAGAAATGGCTGAACTGATAGCTAAGAGAAGACGGGAGAATATGCTTGGACATCCTCGTAACACACATATTAGATAGATTATAACCCCATTCTTACAATCTTGTGTATATATCTGCAAATGGTTACTGATGGAGAATAATCAAGCCCAGCCTCTCATTTTAGGTAGCCTTTGGTTTGAGACACCATCAAAATCCTCACAATTTTTGTAACATTGAGGATACCAGTTCATACCAGCTCTTAGCAATCTAGAAAAGAGGAGTATTTTGAAGGCTCTGATCAGAGTCTGTTAATAAAGACATGTATTATAATTCCTACTGCTAAGGGCAATCAAGTTATCACTGCTGTTGCTGTCTCAAAATCAGGATGGACAGTATGAACTATAATGCAGTTCTCAACACTAAAACTGTTTGGCAGCTTTTGACCTCATCAGTCCTGATTCAAAGTAAAACATTTTTACAGTTGTATATTGAGACTAATACAAAAAGTGTATATGATACAAATAACAAAAATAAGCTTTTATAATTTATTTCTGTGTTTCAAGAACTGACAGAAAATACTTGACCTTTAAGTGAAGGTATGTACATGGTGTAGGTTAAGCATGATTTCCATTGCTGAAAAATGTAATAAAAGTGTCAATATCTCATGACCCTTCTGATTACCTTTTATGATTGTTACAGGTAATAACTAACCAGCTGAGAAACACTTCATTAGATCATTGTGATCACTTTGTTCCTCTTATCTAGGTTTCCACTGTACTGCGTAAGTTCCCTGGGTGAGAAAACAAGTTGCTTCTCTCCCTGGCCTTTGCAGCAGACAGGGACTCTGCGTGTGACCTGACCCTCAGTTCCATGCCTTTGCAGGCTGACTGTCTTCTTCTGTACTTGGAAAAGCTTCTTGCACATTTTGGTAGCTGACATAACATGAACTTCTCCAGCCTGCTTAAAAAAATGTAACCTCAATTTACTTTTTGTGAAAACAAACAGATTAAGAGCTAAGAGACATGCCTCATGCCAATCCTAACATGTAAATCAACTCTGGCTGCAACCTATGCAACCGGGAGTGCACAATCCAGTTCAGAATAGTATTTACAGCACAGCTGGAAGCTAATCCTTGCCTAAGTAGCTACCCTGGAGCATCCTGTATTGTAATAGCAACATCATTCTTGGATCAAAAACTCATAGACATGCTTTAGCCCGTAAATGACTGCCTTATGAAACGAGAGGTGTTTATCCTCTGATTCTTTGTATGACTGAAGTGTTGGTTTGACATATGAAAAACAAAAGCCTGTATTTACATACAGAGGTTCTTCTGGTGACATGCAAGCAGACATGGCCCTACCCCAGAGCCTGAGCCAAGCTCCAGCGTATTAAGCAGGTTTTATGGAGGTACTCAGCTCTGTCTGTATATACGTCCTTGCTGGACTAGGGAATAACTGCACATAGCAGTTTCTTAATAGACACTTTAATTCTAATTTAGGTACAGAACCCCAAAAGCAGCCCACAGAAATAATAATACTGTATCACAGTGGCTGGAAAAGTCCTTCCAAGAAAAAAGGCAAAAAAAGCAAAATATTGTACTTTGAAGACAAAGTAACTATGACAACGGAGCATACAATACTTGTTTCTCCATCATTGTGAAATATTACATAGTTTTTGGTTTCAGCAGTCAAAAGACCATGGTTTCCCACTTCTTCAAACATGCTGGCATTTCTGTTACACATTGTATCGTTATCAAACGCCTATTTTGCCCGCTTACAAATACTGTAACCAAACCTTTCTATAGATTTGCTTTTGGCTCCCTTACTGCTCTTCATCTAGAAATGGATTGTTTTGGAGGAACTCATGAGTTAAAGACTTTTGGGCATTCTGCCATTTTATTACAGAAGACACTAAGCAGTGAGGGAAGGGAACTTGTTGGAGAATAATTGCTTTTAGAAGGAATGTCTGAATTACTTTTCTTGATGAGAAATACGTGGGGGGAGAAGAAAACACACTTAGCGCTTTTGCATTCATTTGTACCAACTTTGTGTAAGAAATGCTTTTTCAGCCCTGAGCAACCTGGTCTGAGCTCAGAGCTGAGCGTGTTGTGAGCAGGAGGTTGGACCACAGATCTCCTGAAGTCCCTTCCAACCTCAACTGTTTTATGACTGTGTGAGGACTGAACTGTTACTGATCTAAGCAAATGAATCCGTACGTGTTTTCCAAACTTGACAGATGGCCTGAGCAGGACACCTTTCTTTAAGAAGAATGTTCACCACAAACACACGGTACTCTGGGGACACCTGAAGGCCCACATGAATGGCAAGATGGGCTTCTGAAAGCAAATTTGCAAGGGGAAAAATGGGCCTCTGACAATGATGACTTTCTCATCGCTTCATATAACATACAGGGCTAGTGACTGGCTGGGCCTCGTCCTGACAACTGGGCTGCATCCACCCCAGATGAACCAAAACCTGCACCTGTGCAGTACTGCTCTCCTTCAATGATAATAACAAATATAAATACATTGCGTAAACACACACACACAGCCACGGTGTATACAGTTCAGTTGTGAAATTACACCCTTGATAAAGTCAGTAAAATCTCTTTCATGCTGCACTTCTGAAAATCAGACCGACACCCTTTCGAAGGCTAAAAATAAGAATTTGAAAGTCTGGTCAGGCATCAAGTGCAGATTTGAAGCTTCTGCTGTGAGACCGAGAGTGACAAAACACACAGTTACAGTAGGTGGAGCTATAATGTGAGATCTCTTAAAACATTAGCTAATAAGAATAGCAAAAAAATGGATTGATAGTATTTCTGTAATGTTTATACTAGGGTTTTGCTGTAATTTCTAAAATATACTATCCACTATAAGAGACAGGATACTGGATTACATAAAGAACTAGATTAATCTATACTCTGGTTTTAGAAATGTATGTAAAAATGAAAAAAAAAAATTAGAGCACTTTTAAAATACCAGTTCTTACTTTTCTCTTAATATGACAAGTGTCATTGGATAGAACGGAGATAAACAATTAGATATATATTAAAAATAAAAACTAACTACTTGACAATATAGCATTTTTATGGTAATAAGTGCAGCACCCTGGATGATAATGCTTCTTTCAGAGGCAACACACAGAGGGCCATTTCTGGTTTGGAAATCAGAAAGTACTGGACATGAAAAATGGTCTAAGTAGGAATTTTGTCTTTCTGGCACCTGAAACCTATGTAATTTTGAGAGACAGACTGTCTTCATGTCAAATTAACTTTTTTAAAAAGTGGATTTAATAACCTTCACAGAAGACTAATGGATTGGAATTAGTTGCAGGTACAATGAATTAGTAGCCAAATAAAGCTAGATTTTGCAATAATTATGATAAATTTTCCCTTGTGAGCAATAGATAAATACCATTTATCAAGTGTCTACTACATAAAGATATATGTGTATTATTTATATACATAAGCTTACAAATACAGTTCATTTTCATATGTGGAGCTAGATTATGTGTGCATCTGTATGTATACATCCACTGACTTTGGTGAAATAATGCCTCTACCTGAGCGAAAAAAGAAACTATCTTTCTTGTGCTAACAAAACAGGACATCCTAGGAATTTTTGCTTAAGCAACCCTCGGTAGCCTAACATATTGGCTCCATCTGTGAGAAGCAAACTCCAGTGATTTTGGCTGAATTAAAGTCAAACCAACATCACCCATTCCTTGGATATGAATGAATATGGATCTACATAGAAGTCAAACTACTCAGGCTTTTCTAACCACAGATTACAGGAGTGCACTGTTTGTTTTATAGCCATCAACCTGCTCAATTGAATCACGTCTGCCTGAGCTTAGCAGCTTAAAATTCATTCCACACAGCCTGCAGTGCTGACATGGATATGATAAGACAGAAGAACAGAAACACCACTCTGAAGTAACCTAGCTGAACTGCACATGTTCTGACCCTTTTTGAACTCCCCGGAGCTTTTGTTACCTGGCAAATGCAGCTCTAAAACTGCTCTTGTATCTCCAGATCTTTGCTCTTAGCCATGCAGAAGCCTATTTCTCTCTGGGACTGGCAGCGAGAGAGGTGCTCTCTGAAGAAGGCTTCTAAATGAGTGTGCACGCTGAACTCTTACTGAACTGAATTAATTATTAAAGATGCAGATGGAGCTGTCCAAATGATAAGAACAGCTCCTGACGTATCATGATCCAAGCTTTCATTAAACCATTTCAGGCATACTAATGGTTTCCCACCGCTCATTACTTACATGCTCTTTTCTCATAGATATAATAACCCTGGTGCCCAAAGGCATGACAGGCTATGGAAACAGTGAAGTTGAAAGTTCCTCAGAAGACGTACTGAGGAAGTTCACACTTCCCCCCCTATACTTCCTATCCTCATTTTGTGCAAACCTGTATGGAGACGCAAGTGCAAATGCTTATAAATGTGGAGAAAAAATTGTAAATTAAAGTAGCAAGCAATATTGTCAAAAAAGTTTATGTGCATTGACAGTACTATTAAACTGAGAATCATACAAGTGATTTGATTAACATGTGAAAAAGCCTACCAAGGTGAAATTCTCACATGCTACTGATACTAAGTAAGCTACACTACAAATACGGCTCTTCTTCGGTTACCCTGCACGTGACATATTATTTTTCAGCCATTACACTTCTCACACTTCTTCCTCCGGTCTCTCTTGCTTTCTCAGTTGGGACGATTAGAGGGCAAAGCAATTGCTAGAGAAGAATTACTCCCAGGAACTGTGCTGTGATTGCTACCTGCTGTTTTATATTTTTGAAGTTGGGAGTACTACTCCCAAAGGCCTTTTGCGTCTCAGCCTAAATGATTTGCTGGAGGATAATAATGTCATGGCCAGTAAATAATAGTGAACTATGTCTGTACATGGTCAATATGATTAAATGTCCTTCACCTCTATTCTCACTCTGACCTGGTTATGAGGAAGTGAAAAAGCCGTCAGCAATGCCCAAAGCTTCCCATGTGAAATGTTATTTTAAAGCAAGGGAGAGAAATGGAGGTGACTTAGCAAAATACTCCCAGTAACAATAAGATAAAAAGCTAGACACAAAAAGCAAAATTATCACCACACAATCAGACTTGAGGTAACTGAACTATTGTGGTGTGGAACTTAGAACAATCTTCTAGTAATGATTACAGCAACTGCAAGAAACAACTTTGTGTTGAAAAATACTGTCTACCGTATTGAAAATACTAAATATATCTTTCAACTATAATTTTAGGATTAATTGAAAAAGAATCCCTATCATCCTGAGACTTGATTTAATTTAAATGTATTTAGAATAAGCTCTGTACAAGTATTATGGTTTATACTTAAATCTTATAAACACTACAATTTTGCTAATTCAACCTATACACACATGAGTTTTGGCATCTATGTCTATTTCTTTGAAAATATGCCAATGAACTCAAACAATTTCTACACCACACAACTATCTTCTTTTAAGTGACTGCTCAACGACTTAAATAGTTTTTGATATAAACAGAGGGTAAACCCAACCTAAATATACATAAGCTTATTTCAGTATTGAAGATCCAGGAAGGAATAAAGTGCCTACAAAAAACTGGCCAGGTACATTTTTTATAGAAAGTTCCATAATCAAAGTATCAGTTTATTTTTACAGGGAGAATTAATGTAAACTATAAGCTACAAAAATTGTTGATAGAGTACATCCAGCATATAGATCTATAAAAGTCAGAAATTTCAAAATTATGCCTGATGCACTTTCAGCATTTGCAGGCTGAAAAAATAATAATGACAAAATACAATTCCTGAATTTGGAAAGTCAAGGGAACCGAAATCCTGTTAACATTTCACTACTCTACTACTGTATAAAGGCAGGAGAACAGATAGAGAACAGATAACTATTTAGACTGTCAAAAGCGTGAAAACAAATTAATTCATTTTTCCCAACTATCAGCAGTTACGAGGAAAGCTGTCTATGTACATAGGCTATGTCCCCAGCACCAGCCTTCTAGAATACTTCCCCAGCACAGCCGGGCTTTAAAGGTACTGAACTAGCAGAGAAAAACAAGGCGAGCCAAAATGCACATCTTGCATCTACTTTCCTTCCAAATTCCTATGCTGTGCAATGTTGGCATTATTGGCCTGAAATAACAGGGAGATGGTTTTGCCCTGGGTTGACATGACTATGCGCTTTTTACCTGAAAGTGCTCAGAGAATGGATAATTGATGTATGAACACAACATTCAATCTGAAACGGACAACGGGGCACGCAGCTGTGGGTGTAGGGATGGGTGTGCATGCACACAATGACTTTACTCAACGGACTGCAAAAATGTGTCAACGCTTTCTACTGGTTACATAATACTCTATTATTTATACTAAAACAGATGAACTTGTATGTCTGACATACATTACATGTAGCATAAATACACACAGAAGTAGTCATGGAAAAATATGCATATGCATATGCAAATACACATACAAATACTGTGTAAGTGTAATGAAATATAAGATTTACTTAATTATCCAATGCGTTAGAACACTCTTTTGAGATAATCATGTTGGATAATTAGCAGTTAAATTCTGGAACGTGTACAATAGTGACTCAATTGAAAGCAATAATACTGGTTCCTTTAAAAAAACCCTGTGTTTAGTACCTCATTGATTTTTCGTATGACTACACATGTCAATACGACCTTCAGAGTTCAAGCCATTAGGAAAAAATGGCTATGCCACCACAGCTTTGACAATTAATCATTTGGTCAGCACTCTTTAAAGATTTCTAAACATTTATATAACCATTGGTCACATTACAGATTGTTTATAAGCATTTTCATGAAATGTCTTGTGAATAAGGATGGTATTGACTGATGTTATTCAATCTTTCTAACCTTGCTGCGAGGCAACCTAAAAGGAAAAGAAAAAACAAAGTTCTTACCAGAATAATAAAGGTAACAGGTCCAATGAAACTCCAGATAAAATAGTTATCTACATGGAGCCAGCAACTATCATGGAAAAAGAGAATGAAAAGTGAACAACTGCATTAGCACCTAAGTCCAATAAATGGAAAGTGCAAAAAAACTTCTTAAGCTAACACTTTTGTCAGTAAACAATTGTAAACGTTGCACAGTACCACTTAGTCCATGCACAATTTTTCCTAACCTGAAACTCTTCGGATGAGTCCTGTTTAATAACTCTATTGAACTTGAAAACACATCATCGGGAATAGCTAACATATAAGACGAAACAAAACCAGTCGAAAGGTTTGGTCACAGGTGCTACCACAGACTAATGAATCTACCATCAGTAAATATTTTTCACAGGTTTTCCAAGTAATCTTCAAAATCTGCTTTTAACTTTCTATCATACGCAAAGTGCTTACTCCTGAGGAATACGAGACAGAAAATGTTCAGATGACATGTTTTGCTGAAAAGCAACATGGTGTAAATAAAATGCCCCAACTGGGAGTTGAACAGTAGAGAAAGAATACATATGATACCAGACTAAATGACGTGTAAACCTATTAGGGCCGACTTCACTTAGTGATTCGTTTTTCATACAGCCCAGTTCCCTGCTGAATTGCTCTTATTTGTCTTTCATCAGTAGCAAAATCAAGCAGCTTCCTTGTAGTCAACAGTATCTTCCCATTCTGTAACTAATTTCATCAAAGGACAAAGTAAACACTATTGGAAGGCAAATTCATGCCTCTGGCAACTCAAACCCTCAGAAATGCTTTCTGTCTACCTTCTGTCATGTTCTATATGTATCTGTATTTTTGTAAATAAAAGGCGGTGGCTAATTTTAATCCTGCTCTACCCGCCTGATAAAATATTATCAAAGTGAAACATATGGGTTGGAATATTGTACTGCCATAATTCAGGACGAGAGTTAGCTAGAGGGGCAGTTGGAACAAAGAGATCTAATGAAGCATTAGCTTAAAACTGGGCGGTTAGGCCTGTCACATACTTTAAGTTGAGAATTTTTACTTAATATACATTTGAGGCCAAAAAGTTATTTACTTTTTCAATTTGTTTCAGGTCAATCTTTTGTGTTAAAAGAAAGACCGTAATTTAGAATCGGTCTCTCTAGAGTACAAATCCTCTGAACCTAGAGAATTACAAAAGACTTGATTGTAATTTGTGCACAGCATTGCCATTCTCTTACCAATAAAGCTTTCAGATGGTATTTTAGTCTGTCAGGGACCCTCTGACAGCTAATAGGCTTTAAAAAATTATTCACTTGAAAAACACTCGGGTCACTTGCAATTACTTACGCTTTCTCTGTTCCGTAGCTCTTATAGTCAATAGCTGCTGAGACACCAACTACTGTAGCAGGGAAGAGGTAGCCAGCAACATAATAGTACTTCTTCCTAGAATATTCACTTTCAAATACTTCTACTAACATTAGATAAAGCTGCACTCCTTCTAGACACATCCAGGCAAAGGCTGCCAGGAAGAAAAAGTGTAAGAGACCTGCAAATATTGGACATGCAATCTGCAAAGAAAAAGAAAGGTGAAAAATATAAACCACAAATTCTTCACACCATTGCACCTCTAATTAAATAGTGTGAAATAGAACAGCATATACTACTATCAGATATCTTTCACAAATACAAGAGCATTTTCCCTACCTGAAAACATACACCGAACATTTTCAAATACTAACGTGTTGTCAGTAGCTGAAGAAAGTAAATTCAGCTAAGCAGTATGAATGAAGGAAATCGTGCCCTCACCCCCAGTCTTCAATTATAGAGTGGACTTTTCAATTTTATAAGCAACTCTTTAACTTTGAAACTGATATAGTTTTAGTGCTTATAGTTTAGATAATCTGAGACATGAACTGTTGGTTCTAGATGCATAATGTAATATTGCTTATTTAAAATCATGAAGCAGCCATCATGCCATTTTTATCTGCTGTAATTTGGAAGTTTCCACTGTTGTAATAGAAATCAACCTGAATTCTCTCCCCTTTGGCTGAATTCTGGATGAAACTCTACAGAATTATTAGATTTCAACCCAATGAATCGCATCTGAATGACAGAATTAATTTCACAAATACTGTCAAAAAACTTGCATGATGTGCAGTGTAAAAAATGAGTAAATACATAAATAAGACTCTCTACTAATATATATATACGAAAAAGTAATCAATAGCTGTTGAGACATACGAATATATGGAGAGAACACATATATGCTCCTAGTATGTCAACATTTAATTTCATCTCCTCTTTCAAAAGTTTAAGCCACCTGCCTCGTTAATAGCTGATGTTTCTCAACTGAAAATGAAAAACATTACCGTAAGTGGGAAATTAAGGCCACAGTGATATTTTTGATGGATGTAAATACTATTTATGAACATGTCTATTTTGTTTTCACATTGAGCTTTTATTTCAGCCTTTCTGTGTCATAATGCTGAAAGCTTGGCAGTGTTGTCATGTTTTAATTCAAATCCATTTCAAACAGTCATTTCAGAGAACAAGTTCAGTACACACAGAGAAGACTTACCTTGTACTCTGTCTTATCGATGCCTATTAGGAAAATGAACTCAGCAATGAATAGGTTGATACAAAGGTTCTTGTGAATAGTGTTACGATCACTTTGCAGGCCACGGAAAAAACAGAATGTGAAGATGCAGATGGCCAGGCAAACAAGAGAGATGACAATTCCCACCCAGGTGATGACAGTGAGGAGCAATTCGTGCACTCCATCTTTGTACTGGAAATAACCAAGAATGGAGAAAATTAATATGACTCTTTATGAGTATAAACAAAAACCTATTTTCACAGCTAGCATCCGGAAAAGTTACTTGTTCATTACATGAGATGGGCAAAATGTACTCAGTAGTTTCTCAGTCTCAGGTCAGCTTCCAAGAAGAGCAAGATTAGGGTAAGTACAAGATGACAAGATGAACAGGTCTGAGAGAAAAATGTGACTATTTTAGCCAGATCAGGTAGCATTTTTACTTTTCTGATGACTCGCTGTAAACTTGTCAGACAAGAAGTAGAGAAATGTAATATTCAGGAAGTGCCACTAGGCTCTGATGCAAACAAAAAGGGGAGCTTTCTCTGGGTCCTCCTATAAGACTGTATGTTCCTTCCTACAGACCTGCAACTCCACAGCGGAGAAGAAAGCAACAATTTACACACCAATTAGGACAAAATGCAGAGTATATTATGTGTGTAATTCCATCTCTAATCTCATGTTTAGCTAAAGAAGGCTCCTGTTTAGCTAAAGAAGGTTCCTTGCTTCACTTGCGACAGAATCACTTTTGTCATCTTGGTTATCTTTTCAGCGACCTTTCCAAATATAATGGGTTTATGAAAAGTGACACATCCTTGCAAATATTGCATGCTCCCGGCCCCCTGACATCCAGTAAGTGCTTTAATTAGACAACAAAATTTCAAAGTATGAAGAGGCATTTAAACAACCAGTACTGAAGCTCCTTGACCTTCCTGCTCTAAGGAGAGCTGGCACTTGTGCTTCCAGGGAACAGTCTGCACGGCTGCCCCTACAGAAAACTCTCCAGCTGTACTCAGGGGAAGTCTGCAAAATGGTTCTAAGGTTGGACAGTAACTTTAAAATATGACTTGAAAAAAACCTCTTGTCCTTCCTTGTTTTTCTTTCCTGTTACTTTCCTTGTAACTTTATGGGCGAGGAAGAAAAGTGCTACAGAAGCAAATTGCTTTAGAAAGAGTGGGTAGAAGCTATAAATACTCCAAACCTTCAGCAATTTTGGATGTTGCTAAAAATTTAAAGCTCAATCTTTAAAAGTTTGTTCCCTGCCGATGGCTAGAAACATCATTACCTACCACAATTTCCCGATGAGCCATAAGAATTGCAAAGTTGGTTAGGTGACTGCAAGCACACGTTGTATGAGTTTTATTTGTGTCAACCAGTTTGCAGCCTTGAGTTGACCAGTATCCCATCATAGTCCTCTCTGAGTAGTTCCAGAAGGAACAATTTGCATTGAAATAATTGTCAGGCTGGCAGATAAAAGGATAACATAAAATGAGGATTTTACACACTAAGATGGCAATAACAATTGTTTAATATGTGTAAAGGGTAATTTAGATTAAACTTTGCATGTTTCGGACAATAAAGTTTTTCATCAGCAAAATTGTGGACTATGTAATACAAGGAAGACACCTAGTTTAAAAGGGACTTTATAGTCCGAAACACTCTAAAGTGTAGTCTCAATTACTGTAGACCCAATTTTAAACAATTACAATTTCCATCTTACAATTTTATGCACTGATGGTACATTATAGCCATTTTTGCTTTCTGCAAAATTAGGACTGTAAATTTATTCTGAAGATATTTTTCCTGTAATTGAGAATTTGAAAATATGATCTTTTTCCTTTGATTCTCACCTTTGGTCAGACCAAAGTCACGTGAGCAGACATCAGGAAAAAGTTCATTCCTATCTATTTTGATGAAAAACAATCAAAATAGGTTTGTAACACGAGGCAAAATGACAGGAAAATACATCCATATTTTTTCTATCATGGCTGTGATTATTTACTTTCCCCACATGAGACATGAAAACAGAAAGGACCAAACTAACCAACAAAGAAACACATCAAACAAATTGCCATGAGAAAATATACACAAATTTAAAGGATAACAAGCCAAAATAAAATACTTTATTCTTCACTGAATAAATGCATGTAAACAACTAAATAAATGCATTTAAGCTTCCAGAACTTGGTCCAAAATTAATGTAAAAAGTTAGTGTCGTTTCAACTTGCTACATCCGATCATCAAGAATCTTAAGTGTTATTTTCTACTCTGCTACTAAGGTAAGAGTTAATTTTCAGTTAGAAACAAATTAGTCATTTACATTTTCATGTTGATTACTGAATTAGCTTTCATTAAGAATACACTTAAGTTCTAATAATCACTGAACCAGGCTCATTTAATTTTATGTTCATAGACTTAACTAAGCTTGTGTCTCTGACCTAGTCCAACATTTAAAATTCAAATGGAAAAAAGGTTATTTTTCTGCATTGCTTTTCTCTCTTGCTGATTTTATGACCTTCCCATTAATTCATTAGCATAACTCACATCAATGTGTTCCAGCGTAAAATGCACAGGATCAGTCAGGTACACCCGGCTAGACTCCTTGTTGATAGAGGCTGCAATGACGTGGGAGTTGACTGCGATCGTGCTATTCCGCCCAGCAAAGTCGCTGCCCAGCTTTATGGTTGCATTTTCAGTACTGAGAAAACGCCCTAAACTTTTGTAAATTATGAAAACCAGTTTTGCTAATCCTACAAAAAAAAAAAAAAAAACAAAACAAAAACCCCACATCATCATGCCATAGAGGTCTACAGAAAGACAGAGCAACCTGTACTCTAATGAACCGACAATAAAGCATCAGTAATCAGAGAGGCATTTTCAGGCGATGGATTTGAAGAAAAATGCCCTGGTACCCACTGTCTTTCAGAAAAAGCCACAGAGCAGTTTTGTTGTGTTTTGTTTTGATATTTTAACTAGGGGAGGTAATGTAGGTTTTATAAAAGTTAATGGAGTTTCAGTGCTCCGTGCCCAAGACTCACCGTTCCTGCTGTTCTGTTTCACGGTGCTTGCAGAGAGCTGAATCGAGTTGCCTCCTTTACTGCCCTGAGGAAATTTCAAGTCCTGCACCTGGCCCTCAGTAATGAGCACCGCAACATCCAAAACTAAGCAGACCAGAGATTTAAAAAAAAAAAGTGGTAAGAAAGGAGAATGCAGAAAGTCTCTTTGTCAGATTGCAATATGCCAGATGACATTATTTCCCCCCACTCTATTTAGTTTTCTCACACTGCTGTCCTCATTTGCCACTGTGAGACAGATCTGTACTGCACCTTTCAAGCACACAGTTAGTTTCTTTAACTAAACCTAGTGCACACTACTAAAATGACAGCACTTTAATAGTGATAACACGACATCAAACTTTGCTTTAGTTTGTGCCCCCAAAACATCCACTTAAATATAGCCCACACAAATTGCAGAGAAATGTTAATTTTGGACCTCCTAATGTCTACGCAGTATCCTCTGCTAACAAATTTAGAACTTTAAGTATTGATTTAGATAGAAAGAGTTTTTAAAACAGTCAGCAAATGAACACCTAAGTACACTTATGCCGTGTATTTAGCTAATTAGTAATTTAGTATTCATAACTATGTCTGAAAATGTCTGATTTTCCTAAATATAATTCTGCATAAAGGTTTATAGGAAACCATTTTATTTGTTCTGCTAAAAAAATATTTACATTGAAAACTGAGATGCCACTCAGCCTTACGTAAGTTTTAATTTATAACACACTGTATATTGGGAAGCCTCCATCGGACTACCATCGAAGGCTGGATCCCCTTCGTTATGTAAAATCAGACCGGTCAGACCGGTCAATTTGTTGACAAATATCTGCATTATATTAAACTGGTTTAACTATAGATCTAAACTACAGATGGACAAAAGGTGCGAAATTAGGCAATGATTTCTCTTTCTCTAAGCCACACATACGTAGGTGCGCTAGGACTTCAGGCTAGGATAGCATCAGTAATGTGTTACTAACTATGACTTGAAGACAGCTTATCACAAGAAGTGATATTCAGACAGTCTACTGAGCTCCACGGAACTGCTCGTGTACATCCTAAAAGAGATTTTCTGTGATTCTACCCACATTCCTTCAGAAACAACTGGTGCAGTTACGTTGATAATGGACTGTAACACCTTTCCCCATCCTTTCTCAGTATCTTCCTACTCAAATTAAAAACTAGAAGGAACCATCTTCTACAGTTACAAACATGCAGACACTGAAAGATGAAAAGTCTCATTTCTGCAGTCTAGTCCAAGTCTCCATCTCAGTACCCCTCAAATTAGCAGACTTTCAGCTTCCTTGTACCTTACTGAGACTAGATTCATCTCTGTAATAAGATGAAGGAATTATTTTATGCATACCAGTGATTTTTGCGTTAACGCATCCCATGTACCAATATTGGCACATCTCTAATACCAAACCCCTTCACTTCTCTGTCAACGCTTAAATTCCAAATTATGCTCCAACTATCTTCAGCTATTTTGCAGTCTCTGGAGCATAGCTATTCTGCATTATGGGAGATGTAGTTCACTAAACACACTTTTACCTGAAGGCAGTCATGTTTAATATAAACATTTGGCCTACGTTCTGAGTACCTAAAATATTTAACTGGCAGAGTACGTTGCAAAAAAGTAATCTACATTCATTAGGAACAGATTATATATAACAGGAAAGCACTTCTGCAGCTCTACAGAAAGCAGTTACCTCAAAAAATCCATAGTCTGCCATTTAAGCACTCCTCATACCCATACTTTCTGCTAATGATTTTTCAGCAGTAAATCAACTTTGCAACATCAACTACCTTCCATTTTACATTGTATTAATGACACTAAAGAAGAATGCTAATTTTGAAGAACTAAACAAGAAAAGCGTGTCTCCCCCACTTAGGACCATTTACCTTTCCACCAAATGTTAAGCAGCTCAGCTTTCAAAGAGTTTGTGGTTATATAGAATATTTTTTCCTGATTTTGTGTAAAGCAACGCACAGCACTAAATTATGCTTGAAAACAAATTCACTTACCAATATTTTCTGTGGGCATTGAGACTCTAGTTGGTTCTAAGAGATTATCAGCCAATACAAAAGCCCCTTCTTCTAACGTATCAAGTAGCATCGTGGCCGCATGGGCTTGTTCTGAAGAATTCATGTCCTTCCAGGACTCCAAAGCTTCAGGCCTGAGCAGGTTGTCCACTGTATCCACAATTGCCTGCATTCATTAGAACACTATCATTAGGTCTGATTGCCCTAGGCAGCTGGGGAAAATTTCCAACGTTATCTGGTGACAATTATAATACTTAACTGTCAGAATGATTTACTGTGATTTAATGGCACTAGAAAACTATTTTCAACATAAAAATATTTTCCATCCTCTCCCTGGATTAGCATTAATAGAAGTGCAGTTAGCCACTAGCATTGTGTGGTCTCTAAGTGGTAAACATGCAGATTTGACTCGTCTTGTGTCACGTATAAAGACAGTCTTATTAATGTGCTGAAAAATGTAAAAATAAATGCCATAAGTTTTCCCTGAAGCTTTTGTCTTAAAGTTAATGTCAAAACGTATAACTTCTATTTAAAAATTCTAACGCCAAAACTGGCATTCTGCAGTTTAGGCTAAAATGACAATACTACCTTTCTGGAAACTTAGCCCAACTCACACAGCCATAGCACTATAAACTACTTGTCTATGACAAACTGCCTTCTTTATTACAGGAGGCATGAAATGAAGCTGACTCAGTGGATATAAATTAGCCCGAGCCACTCTCACTCCCCCTCCTGTTCCTGTACCTGTTCATAGATACTTAAAAAGATTACTAACTCCCATTCCTGCACAAAGGTCAGTTAAAAAAGGAAATCAATAGAACAAACAAGATGTCCACTGACTGTCCCTCTTATCAGTGAAGGCAAAACTGTAAAACTGAATAAAGCTGCCATTTTAAAAAGTCTTTCTTGTAACAACTCTATCATCATGTTTTAAGGTTCATTAAGCTGCATATAAAGTAACAGTAAATAAGGAAGAAAAAGAATTCAGTGGCATGATTACATTATTTTTACAAAATAATCCAATCAATCACAGTAATCAGTTAATCAATTGAAGGCAGGCTCTTACATTAATGCATAATGTAGCTGTGCATTGAGTATGCTGTGCATTGAGTACGCCATGCATTGCTGAAACACCCTGTTTACTCTGTCCCATTTACCTAGTCATAATGTGTCATTAAGGATATATATAATTTGTTTGATCAATTTAAAAGCACTGGGAATGGAAACAGAACGTATTGTACAAACAGAAAGATGTCGGTCTGGAATACTATATTGTGCAAATAAACGAACACGAAAAGTTGGTCAAGGCTATTGTCAAAGCAAGATTAATTAGCCTAATCCATTTTAATATCCTCTTTCTGTCTGCATTGTGAGCCACCACGACCTTCCTGGCAGGTGGAAGATACTTCGAAGTGGTATTAAAGCCTTTTTTCTTTCTCTAATGGGAGACAGAATAGTCAAAATGCTTGCACTGATATTGCTGCAGCCATTAACTAGAGTGGAACAGAAATTGGTCTGCAGAGGCCAGATTCATTAGTCACCAAGAAATACAGATCGGAGCCTCTAATCTGAGGTACAAATGAATCCTCTGTCACAAAGTGGGAACTTGCTTCATTTGCATAGTGTAAGTCAGCTTTTGATTTGTAATTTCAAGAGGTTTATTAGTCTTATCTAAGCAGAGAAGCCCATTTGAGACCTATGGAAAATGACACCAGTCGGAAATTAAGGTTGTGCTGCGGTTTCTTGTGTATGTCCATATAGTGCTGGCAGTATGCCTTCGTTAATACAAAACGCTTTTTATTTATTATGGGATAATCTAACTCTGCATTTTCCTGTGGAAAATTATCACCTGCCCAGTAATAATTCTGAGGCGTTCTCTCCTCTCGGAGAGAGGCGAGTGGGCAGTGGAAGACCACGCGGCCCCTATGATGCAGCTGTCGGAGCAACTCCATTACTGCTCTTGTCATGTTCATGTTTACTATTGAAAATGAGGTATGAAAACTCAGTCTACTCAAACCATATCTGCTGGATTTCCCTTTACTATTAAAAAATATTTTCCAATAAAAAACTATTACAATTACTATTATTTGAGAAGTGAATTACTTTCCAGATCTTTGTCTCTTTTTGTCGAATTTTTGCATAACTGGACAACTCCCATCCCCTTCCTGGGCTGAAGGATAAAAGACAGGAGCGCCCTGGACAGAGAAATGTCTCTTCGGTAAGAGTCTGAATTGCTTTATTATGTTGCAAAGTATTTCAAAGTTCTTTTCAAAAATCATTCTTACATTTTATCTCAGAGGGTACAAGTAAAAATCACTATTTCAAAAGAAACTTTGAAAAAGTGTGCAATAAAATTTTTCAGAGCCAGACATGATCTGCTCTAGGACTTTTTTCTCTTCTTCACAGGCGCGAGGTGGCATTAGTGGCATTGTATTGCAGAGCAGGAGCTGGCCACTACGGACAACCATTCTACAGCAGATGAAAGAAACTGAAAATTGGGTAACAATGTCTTACATGCCTTCCATATAGCCTGGTTAATGGGACACGTGGCACACATTTTACTAGTAAAGTTCAAGAAATGTTTGTCTTTACATTTTATCCTGAAGTCACTGAATCTGGCCTTTGTAACAACTCTTATAACTGTAAGAAAGAGTGATTTTACTAGGTATAACAATACACAAAGAACAAAGCAGGCTATATAATGTACATTTTTCATGCAAGCAAATTAACTCCAAGCAGTCTTTGATATAAAATACTACCAAGCTGAAGTAATTTCTTGTAAGTTGCCAGCTTTTTCCTATACCCAAAGTTGCATTATGAGAGACATGTTACTTCCAATTCAGGTAAGAACCATTTCTGCTCTTTTAGTTTTGAACAAGTTGAGGTAAAAGAGGTATAAACTTTGATCTTTAATTTTTTTTTTCTGAGTGTTATACCTGTGCAAAGCCAACATTTGTACAGTTGATATGGGGCACAATACACATTTATCAAAGACTGAAATACATAGGATCATGCAGCAAGATGATAAAGCGTGGCAGGTTGCTGAAGCAGGGAGAAAGCAGGGTGACAGCACAGGAGAGATACCTTAAGGTAAGCCCTGCATGTCTTCTCTCGTTTTTGGAGCTTTTTAGTAAGAAAAAAGAAAATCAGAAGTTAGACACATTCTGGAAAGCTTTAGAAATATCAAAAAAATTAGTCTGGTGTTTCAAATCCCGAATTTGAACTATAGCCTGGACGTTAATCTAATGTCTGTCCAGCAATGACTATAAAAAAAATCACACAGGAAATGTTTTTCCCCAACCTTTATACAGGTGCCCAGATATCTTTGCCCAAACGATGGGATTTGTGTGAAAAGGTTAAAGGAGAAAATCCCTTTGTGGGCATTTGATCTGCCTCTGGGAAAACTCTCTTAAGGGCTCTAGGGATTGTAAATAAAACTATTGCCAAAATACCAGGAGTGCATGGAGCTCTTTCTCTAAAGGAGGCTGAAAAACTGTTTTGTTTGTAGCTTGTTGACTAAGCTGACACAAGGAAGAGGCCGAGAAATACAGCATTGCCTCTGAGAAAAAGAGGAATGGTAATAATGCTTGTGATTTGTATTTTAACCAGAAGGACATACATTTTCACTGAAATGTTTCTCTGAACATCATTCCGGAGAACACATTTATACGTGTTTTAGATATGTGTTTTAAGGCATTTTCATAAAGACCAATTATAAGTGATGTTGGCGGCTTTAAAATGCTAAGAAAGTGCTATTATTCTGCAGGAAGTCAGATTAAAATAAAACCCGGCACCTATGCAGAATCCCACTGATTTTATTACATGTTCAGGGTTAAAAGGATCACTGGGTAAACATGCTGATTTGTTACAGAATTTCTGAGAGCTAATGCCCATTTCTCTCACACTAGCTACAAAGCATTCCAGATTTTAATAAGGGACACAGTTATGTATTTCAGGACCAGCCAACTATTGTGAATTACATCGTATTCCCTAAAGAAGGTAATTGCAACTTTCCGCTGTGTATTTACTGCTGTTTTCTCTTACATGTTTATTCCAGAACTATAAGCACGCAGGAACAAAGTATAGATTAATATTTCTGAAAGGAAAAAAAAAAAAACAAAAAACCAACACAAGGGCAATGGTTATCCCAGCAGGAGAAGGTGACAGGAGGTGCGTACCTTGTTATAACTCCTTCCAGCAGAGTCTTTTTCACTGGGCCGCAGTTCCTGCAGCTGAGCATCCAGAATGTCCACGAGCTGCTCCATCAGCCTCACTGATGAACTAACATCGCCAGCGAAGACGGGTCCTTTGGTGTGTTTAGCCAGTTCATTGGCCAGACTAGCAGCATTTTCTCCACTTCTGATCTGAAATGACAATTTATATTATCTCAGCAGGGTCCCTTGTTCTGCTTGCGGCTCCTAATTCCAATTCCCTGTGTACCTTTGTTGTGGTGAAATAACCATTTGCACATACATTGAAATCTGCAACTAATTGAGACCAATAACGTTCTCTTTATCTCAGAAGATTAAAGGTTCTTAGATCCGTGACACACAAAAGCAGTTCTTAACAGCCATCAAAACCAGAAATCAGACTGGGACTTCTGGGCTAGATATTCTATTCATCCTTACTTTTATTTTACTGCCATTATCAGACAGTAAGAAATCTATTTGTTCATACTAGTGCTTGAGGCATTTGAAAGTCAAGTAGCCTGGTACTGACAACAAATTATCCAGTTTTCATAAACTTAGTAAATCTCAGTAGGGAGGGAAAACACAGAAAGTGGCTCTGCGCTCTAATCATACTGTTACTAATGCACTCAGACAAAAATCTATTTATTACAGTATAATTTTTCCTGAACCAAAAAACCTTGCTGTATACCACTGGTTTTGCTGTGTGATTTATAATATTTGATTTATTAAGCAAATACAGCTTTTGTTTTTTGAACACCAGCAAAACTACTTTGCTTTAAATAGCGATGAAAACACATAATCATAGATTCAATACAAGAACTTAGAGGGAGAGCGTACCAAAACACACTTATGAACCTAACTGTTGGCCAATGCTTTGCACACAAAGTACACATAACTCCTTCTACTTTAAATGAACATAGAGTAATAAAGACGGCTTCAATAAACTGAATTATTAATGCTCAGAGTTAAAATCCTTAATCACTAGTGTACAGCAGATTAAAAGGTTTCAACCAACCTTCTGAGCCAGCTGATTTACCCAGTGTGAGGTGCAGTTGCTAAGATCAGGGCCTCTGGGGTTCCACGTTCCCGTTAAGACCACGCAGAGATATGAGGCAGTTCCTACAACAGATGTAGAAAACTACAGTGAAATGGAAACCATTTTTCTGCATGCATTCAGGAAATCGGCTACACTGTGCTCCTAAGCAATGCTAAATTCTGAATGCTGCTAATGGCAGCAGTTGACAATAATTGACAAAAACCTAAGGAAATAATGTAGATTACAAACAGCAATAAAAAAAGTCAGTGAAAAGTACCAGACGCTTTCTGCAAACAAACAAAAAGCCCTTGATTTTTCCTGGAGCTCATCCAGAGGGGACCTCATAATGAGAAAGGCAGCTGTAAGCATATTTCACAACAGTCCTCAAGCAAAGCCCTAAAATTTGACCTCTCAAAAGCGCATGCACAAGGTAATTCTGCAGCTATGCTCGAATGCCGTTTGTAGATTAAAACTTGACCATTGCCTGTAGATACTGCATTCTCCAAGTAACAAAAAATCGTGTAACAGACAGCTTGAGATTAAAAAAAAAATTCACCATGAGAGAGCAGCACACCGCTTTTGAAATGTCTGCTTGAAATCAAGTTATATTTTTAAAGGCAATACCTCGTGTTCCTTTGGGACAAGGGCGTTCAACCATCATTCCTCTTTGTGTCTGAGGCCAGCTAATCCCCCTGGCCTCAGTCGGTTCACAGAATCTCTCTGGCAAAGGGAAAAAACTTGTCACAGGAGGAATTTTGGTTGTGGAAACGGGTGGCGGCGGCTTGGGTCCTCTGCTTCCTTCCTTTGTTCCTCCAGCTAATGTTGTGCTTATGGGACCTTTCTGTGATGTAGTGCTAGTGGTTGACACTGTGGTTTTGTACAGCTCTGCTGAAGAAGTTATTGTCACTGCTGTGGTAGGCACTGCACAGAGAAAATTAGAGTAATAATAAAGTAAATGAATTCAGAATTATAAAAAGGAAAAATTCTTTAAATGTTATTTATGTAGTTTTTCTCTGGTGTCTCCTTTCCTTTATCTTAATATTAGTCTTTTCTTATAGCTATTCTGGGTCTCTAAGATATAACTGGGACTGACTTTTTTTACTCCCAGTTCATACAAGCATGATGTTTCAGCACATTCTCCAAATAATCTCTTCCGTAATAAAAATTGATAGTTACATTTCTAAAGGCTGAAAGGCAGTACTAGTGAGTTATCAGTACATAACAAACACGCTCAAAGCAATTAAAGATTACTTAATGACTTCTGCAGAAGGAATAACTCAATAGGCAGAATCATTTGAATTAGCATGCCGTAAACAATGCAGTCCAGCTTTAACAGCAAAGGCAGTGGACCGTAACTAACGAGACCATTTTAAAAAAAAAACAGACCCCAAAACTTCAAGTCACCCACTACACACCTTCCAGGAAAATAATTACTATAACATCTTCCTACCCGGCAGTCATTCTGCTTGAGAGCGCTGCCGCACGCCCGATTAGCTCCAAACAGAAGCAGCGCCTAGCCTGTACGTGGTGTTCCCATGTTTGAACATTTCGGGCCTTCACATCCTTTTTTGATGAAGCAGGTATGAAGACCCAAGTCGTGCAAGCCAGTGGCAGGAACCTAGGGTAATCTTTTATGAAACACTAGGATGGGGTTAGGCGCCAAATCACTTCTGCCGGGGAGTGGCAGCCGCTCACTCCGCTGACCCGTGTCGGGACGGCACTGCTGGAGCCGCCGCGGTACGGCCCGAGCCACGCCGCGCCGGGAGGCTTTGGAGGGATCACACCAGGTAACGCTAGCGGAGAGAACAGTCCGGAATAACTGTTCATCGCCTTCAAATGTATACTGAGCAACGGCTGAAAACAATGCACGTGAGCAATGTAACTGCAACACTTATCATTAATTATTTCCAAATCTTCATTAGCGTTCACAGTGCTTTATAGGCACAGAAAAGCACAGATCCTTGTGCTGAGAAAAGTAAGTTCATAGGCAAGCATTTTTTAAATCTTAACTGATACAGAAATAAATGAAACTAATTTTAGGATTAACTTTGGCTTTTTTCTTTCTTTTTTTTCTTCTGCCAGGCCCTTGAACTCTGACTTTCTGGACAATGTATCTTCTCTAAATTAAATCATAAGCAAAAAACAAAAGAAGAGCTGCTTCACTTTCAGCAGAAGTTTTTTAAGTCAGTGTTTTGAGTAAGATTAACTTTCAGTAGTTTGGCAGATAACAATTATTTCAAAATCCTTTTTCAATTATATTTCAGTCATAATCTATTAGGAGTCACAAATATGAATTTATCTTTTGATTTTCATGTGAATTCAGAGTGGAGTTTTTGAACATCACTATCTGTTTTTAAAGACTAAATGCAAAGATGCGCTTTTCAGCCCTCTCTTGCTCACAAATGAGAAACTTCTTCAGAGGCTGTCTTCTCTTCAGTCTCATTCTTGGCTGCTTGAATGCAGTCTGTGTAATTGTGCTGAACTCGTGGCGCAGCCAGCTACTATGAAACCTATTGAAATCCCCGGATCTGTTCTGCAAGTGCTTGCCTGACATCTTGCGAAACTGCTGTAATTTTCTTTTGATTACAATGCATCCAGCCTTCTAGTGCTTTCCCAATTAACATTTGTCAAAAGCATTTGCAATCACACACAGAAGTGTCAGGCAGCGCCTGCTGAATCAGGTCCTGGGGAACGGGGAACCGGGGGGGATGGAGAATGATGCGGGGGACAACCAATTATTGCTATCCATCCCCTAACACGTTGTGCTAATTAGTACATATTTAATCACTGAAATGGGTATTAGCATTATTGCAATTACTACTCCAAACCTATAATGTTTAGGATAGCTTTGTCTCGGGAGCAAAATATCACTCTAAGAATTCATAACAACTCTCTGAAGTTCAGCAGTGAGGTAACAATTTTCAGAACATATTTTGTGCTGCACCCTGAGCTAAAATATCCTGCTGTCGTTATGCAACTTTAGGTAGAACAATTTTCCTGTTAGCCATTAAAATCAATTTCAAAGCATATCACCTATGATTCAAAAATGACCTGCATAGCTTACCAGTAGCACATACTTTAGAAATATATTTATAATCTCACATTTTAGGAGAAAGAATTCAAACCACCTCTCTCACAAAACTGAAAAAAATTACAGACCATTTCTAAGAGATTTTCTCTTGAATTAAATTTCAAAAAAGGAGAAGTTGGTATATTTAAAAAGGTACCAGGAAACTTCAGACAGTGCTGGAAGCCTGGGCGAGAAGGCGGCTGAAAAAATAAGAAACGACCGAACAAATCACTTTACAGAACACATCTAGCTTTTAGAAGGCAGATCATTTTGTTTTTAATGACCTGTTGGGGAACTTAATCTGCAAGGCCATTCTCCTCAGCTGCAAGAAGACACACGATAGCTGCCACCACCTGATGTGTCTCGTTCTGAAAGCTGAGGGTGATGGCATCTGCCGGCTGCCAGGCACTGCCTCGCAGAGTGCTTTACCAATATAAGATAACGGCAGTGATGATTAATAAGCTGCAACTAAGAAGAAGAACAAACTCCAAGTCGAGGTTATTAACCTATTGTTCCAAGCAGCAGGGGTGAGCCTGTACAAGGCTGAAGATACGTAATTTTTGTCCAACGCCAAAAAAGCCGCTTTTACAGTGCGAGATTCCTATTTTGGACTTTTTGACTAGGCTTGACATGCCGAAGAGAAAACCAAAACCTCTCCTGTCTTCTTCCTTTTTGTATGAATACGTGTGTCTCGTTATCAGCTGAAGCCAGTCTTTGTGAAATTAAAACAAAAAATAAGAACAGAGCAATAGGAAATCAAGCCAAAGACGCTAGTTGAGGGCAATTAATTTACATTTGTTTCATGCAGTTCCTAACAGCTGATTTAAACAGTTATGCATACTATCTGTTTCTAAAAATGAAGTCACCACTGGAGTAAAACTTAACACCTGTTTAACAGTGTGATGTCTATAAAACACATAACACAATTGCCTAGGACAGCAGGGGAATAGTAACTTTGTTTCCGCAACTGACAGTGAAGAGTAGATTTAGAGAAGGCACACAAGCTATCTAGTATTCTTTGCCAACAGGTTTCTATTCTAAGCAGGCATAAAATACATTTTAAAATAAAAAAAAACCAAGCCAAACCAAAAAAATCCCTACCCAAAATACAACTCCGACCTTAGATTTAAAATTGTGCTGGAATGCCCAGATGAAAATATTAATGGTTCTATTTTCATCTCTGCACCCAGGCAATTTTACAAATCAGCTGCATGGGTTTTTCAGTTAAACATGTGTTTTTATAGGTCAGATATTTCAATGCATTCGGACACGTGAAAATCTACGTACCTGCCTTCATTTTCAAAAGGTGTCATACACTGAGCTGCCGTGTAAAGCAACAGAGATCAGAAACCTGTGCAAATCCAGATTTCCGTGCCTTCTGCTTATTACCGCTATGTGTCTGTTTTCATGCTTCAGTGAATAGCAGGGAAGGCACTAAGACTTACCTAATTACCTATAGGTTCCAGCTATTACGCTGGCCAGTACTCTATTGACCCTGCCAAATCACGTTTAGTTGAAAGCGAAATGTTTACACAGCCATTTATAAATTTATACCCTGAAAATGGTAATAAATACGCCACAAAATTAGCAAAATACCTATGATCAAGAAACATGCTATCTGGTCCCCATTATGTTGTCTTTACTTGTACAACCACTCTTTCATCAACCTGTAGTGTATCTGATTCAATATTATAGTAAAGATCTAATTTACTTAACAATTTGCTGCATGACTTCGTTGTAGATTCTTGGTGTTATAAAGATTTAGTTGCACTAGTTTCGTATTATTTCAAGCCCTTGGTGATAGTACTCTCCAAATTTCTGTTCTGTCCGCACTCACAACATCCATATTTTCCTGCAGTGATCCAATAAAACTTAATGATGGGTATCATGGTACAAAAGGGGAGACAACTTCAGTTTGAACAGTTCGCAGTTAGCACAAATTGGGATGAGTGTACATGAAATCTCTCCCTAACGCACTAACACAGAACAAAAGGATTTATCTTCTTTTTGTTACCAAGGAAACCTTACAATGTAATGCTCATACTCACTTTTTAGGGGGAATACTCCCTTCATTCTTCCTGATCTTTTAACTTAAAATTCCTTTTAAAATTCCTATTTCAGCCAGGATTCGTTTGGTCCCTTGGATACCTCCTTCAGAGAGAATGTAACAGGACATACCCACTAAATTTACCAAGGATACAAGAACTCTGGTTTGTTTCGAATTTTTCGTACCTGCTTTTTGCAGGGCCTGATGTATTTTATTTTATTTCTAAATTAAGGTTTTGGTTTTTAGATGTAATTTTTACATTTATCCTTAGGAAATGTGCTACTCTGCAGTATCTGAATACTACTTGTCAGCTGTGGCTCTGAAAGCCATTTCTGCATCTATGTACTACAATTCCCACGAGAAGAGAGAAGAAAAAACAACACATGAAGAATGAGGTTAAGGGGGGAGTTCTAAGGGCAGCAGACCCAATTGCCAGGGTAAAATGGTAGCCTGCCTGCAGCATCTGCAATTTTAGAAACCCGAAGTGTTCTCCTGAAGATTGAGAAAATAAGGATATAGGCAACACACAACACAGTTGCAAAAGCAGAACTTGCCGTAGGTTTGCAGCAAGGGCAAGGTCAACACTAGTTTAATTATAGCGGTATTTCAGAGGTTTGAATAGGCAGATTTAAAAATGAAACAACTGAGAGAAAAAAAATGCAGCTTTGGGGTCATGGATGAGTCCAAGATTTTGGCCCTGGGAGCAAATGTAAACTCTCGACCTCAAAAGCGTGACTCAAATGTGACAAACTCATCTTTCATGTAGGAAGAAAGACTGTTGTTTTTGAAGCACTCGGTAGTTGGAAGTTATGGTGTAGACAAGAACTGATAGCCAAGACAAATAGATGAGGGGGAAAAAAAAAGAATCAGCGTGTGTCTATATATCATTACTGCTCCCACAGCAACAGAAGGAACACAGATTGCTGAGTTTCCCACAATGGCCCCAAGTTAACTGTTGGAACAGAAAAGGCCATGACTTCCAATTTTGAGGCACTGACCTTGTGACACCATTAAATACTTGATATTAAAGTACCATTGCAAAAAAGACAGTAAAAGAAGTTTCTTGTGTTAGGTGACTTAAAGAATGTTATCTTAACACCGATGTCTTCGAGTAGATGATTAAGAAATACGAGTCAACCACAAAAAAAAAAACCAAAATAAAAAAGAAGCACAAAGATGCCCTTCATCAAATACGCTGAAAATCTGGTCTAATTTCATATGAAATAAAAAAATTCAAATGTGTATTACACATATAGATCCTTTAACTGTGTAACAATAGAAGGATTGATCTTCAATTTATACAAACTTTATGCTGAAACAAAGAGGAACTGAGAATATAATACAAATAAATTATAGAGCTAGAAACTGTACAGAATCTCTTCTTGGTTTTATAGCAGTACATCTCAAGGACAATCATATTAGATGTTTTTTTCTTTAATTTAGTAGTCTTTAACTACAGGCAATTGGCTTAGGCAAAAGAGGAAATGAACTGAAACAGACTCTTAGATATGCGATGTACAGATCCACACAAAACTAAAATATTGGGTACTGGCTTTGTATAAGGAAAAATACCATTTGTGAACATATGCATCACAAATTCAAATAAATCTGGTGTCTTTATATGGTTTCTATATTCAAAAAAGGACATAATCAAATATATTTACTGATGTCATAATGCATTTAAAACCCAAACTCATAAATCACTCAAAAATTATTCCTTCTCTGTCTTCACAATGTGCAAAGAGCTCAGATGAGAGGCAAGCACCCTGGACCCCTTCTTGTCTAGGTCTGTTTGGAATAAACTGTTTCTCCCCATGCCTTGCATGCCAGCAAGGAACTTGGGAACACAAAGGGGTGCTGGTGGGTGCCCAAATGTCTTTCTGATATTAGGATGGGATGTGTCCAGTACATGTACTGTAACTTAGGATCTTGGAATCCCTCTCTTAATAAAAACATTATGAAATGTCTTACTGGAGACGTTTGGTGGTTCACTAAAGCAAAGGACAGATTCTACAAAGGTCTTTCTTCTCTTGCTGCTCTTCCTTAACACTTTTCCCTCAATGCAATGATTTAAAGATTAGCTTTTGCCACATTCACGACAGCTGCCTGAACTGCAAAAGCCACTTAGAGCCCGCACCTCCATTTTCTCCTCTCACTATTAAAGCTTCGGAGAATTTAAAATGCATCTTCATCTCAGTTAAACCGAATGAAAAGTGACATGCATGAGAATATACGAAATTGAAAGCTATAAATTTTTTCTAATTACATAGGTGGGTATATCTCTGCTAAGAGCAGCCCCAAAGCCCCCCTGAGGAACAGACTAGCTTGACGTACAGAGAGCAAAGCTTCCCAGGACAACTGCTGTCGCAGCCAGAGCTCAGTCCCCAGACACCTGGAACCTGCCTGAGCCTGGCTATGTGTTGCCAGGGAGGTCTGCAGGAGACAGATTGGACAGATCTTCCCTTGCATCTGGAGATCACTAACGTATTGGTTCTGAACTGCTTTATTCTACTGCATCTTACGTACTTTCGCACCTAGGAAAAACTCTAAGTATGTTGATATCGTGTGCACACTACATTGTTTGCACTGCTGTGCATGAATCAGCTTCGCTGAAGCAGGGTAACTACTCTTCACGTGGAGAAGCCATTATTACTACTTTTTGGAAGTAGAAAAAGCAGCTGCTAAACATGCGTACCAGTTAGATGAGAGAAGTGAAGTATTACCTTCTTTGCTAAAGCAGCTTATCAACATTCTGTTCCTTGCAGCATGCATCTTCTACCACGGAGCATTTCTCTTGGTATTTACTCTCCCCTGCAGATGTTAATATGTGGCTGTGCCTGTTCATGTCATTTTTAGGGATTACTAAGACCTAAAGACCTCCATTTTTCTTTCCTCTTTTGGCAGTTAGTGTCTTTCCTTTTAGGTAGTTGTTCTAACTTCAAGTGAGCTGAACTGCAATTGTAATGGACTTACCGAGAAACCTGCTAAAAAGAGGTCGGGTAATCTTGTCTAACCCGGCATTAGAAACTGTGAAAATAGGGCTGCGGAAAAAAAATATTTATGCTTGGTACTGCACATTAACCCCATACATCTCCTCTGGGACCCCCCAGCACACATCACTCTCCACTGCTGGCGCCAAGAAGCTAAAAGGTCTGCACGTATGTCGTAATCAATTCAGAAGTCAGGTACCACCGAACAGACGGGAACCGGGTTCTGGCTCAGCATGAATGAACTCAAACTTACTTTCGCTATAAAAGTCAAACTGACTGATGGTATGAAGTAAATAAACAATCCCCCAACTTGTTCTCAAACACAGAAAAGCTAACCACTTGTATAAAAAAAAAAGAACAAGAAGAAAAGTACAAGCCTGTAAACCAAATAAAGTAATTCTCTCTCTCCTCACCAGTGCTGCAAATTTGCCTTGCACCAGTGTAACGCTGTACTGCTCAGCACAGCGCAGACAAACAACCTCTCCTTGCCTTTCTGCCAAGAGCTAAGTCTGAGAGCAAAGACAACGTAACATAGGTGTCTGAATGGAAGTACAAAGAGATTAAAAATGAGAAAAAACAAATTCTTACCTTGGGCAGGATCAGGTGGGCCAAACTCCAAAGAGTATCGCAGAATGAAGTTGTTATTCCATACATACAGCTGGTTGTCTCTGGGGTTGTAATCCACCGCGGCGATGTACTGGTACTGGTTGGGGAAAGGAACGTCCACATGCTCGCCTCTGCTTAACCTGGTGTTGTAGATGTAATCGATGGCGTTCCTGCCGGTCTCGCTCTCATTGTCCTGATAGACCGACCGCACTACATACAGGACACCACATATCATGAAAGCATTGGATGCTGCTCGTTTGTCGTACGTCGTTTCCCATGTGGCTTCAAAACGCAGGGTGTAGGGGTTCAGCTGGCTAATTACTATCATCCCGTTGTTTTGCTCTGTAGCATAAATTACCCACAAGCCATTTTCATCAACTGCCAAGTCAATATCAGTCTTTCCTCCCCATCGGTATGGAGAGGTGTCATGGTAATTAGCATAATTGATTATGGCCTCTCCACTCTTAATTCTAGTCCTCAAGTCGAATTTTACTATGTTCCTAGTTCTTTCCTTGTTAAAAAAGACAGCGCCATCATACACGACAAATCCAGTACCATCCACTCGGTTTGGGAGTTTATATGTCGTCTGCTGGCGTCCGTTTTGGAAGTCCTCTAAAGAAGCATATTCTATCAAAGTATCGGTGCGATATGGAGTCCATGGCATGAAGTATATTTTATCTGCAGCCTGGAGAGGATCTTTGCACCAAGCACCTGCTTTTTGTTCAGCTTCATATAAATACGGTGAGTCCACAATTGCTTTCAACGTCCCCGGGCAAACAAAAACTAACAGTCACAGAGAGAAGTAAGACAAGAATTACGTCAACTTAAGACTGTCTCATAATAAAAAGAAACAAAAAAAGTAAAAAAAAAGGTAGGTAAATCATAATGACTGTGTCAGGAAGAAAAAAAATCGATTTAATTGGCACTAGATTATACCTTATGTTATAATTAATGCAATTATCACCCTTTATCATCCACTTTTCTTAAAGTTACCATGTTCTTGCTGTACCAGTATGGAAAGTGGATGGGAACTGCTTTCACTAGTACAGACCAAGGCTCAATGGCATACACAGACAGCTGAAAATGTAGAGCTACTCTTGCATTTTCGTCTTAGACTTTAGTGAGTACGCATTAACGCTCCAGAGCTTTTAACTGGTGTGCAGCAGTGCGCTAGGTCATTTCAGTCCAAAAAAAATCACATCGACTTGTTTAGAACTTTAAGAAGTGGTGAGGCTGAAAAAGGAGGTGCCTCGATTAAAAATAAAGGAACAAAACAAATCATCAGGTATATAGAGAAAGCAATTAGGAGCAGAGAAAACAAAACACAACCAAAGCAATGAATGAAACAGACCAGGAAACCCTGTAACCATGGCATGCTATGGAGAGGGTTCTGGAAGCCAGGCAAGATGACACTTGATTAACAAGAATTTACCCAAGGGTGAGAGAAAGAGAGGGAGAGAAAGACAAAGAGAAAGGGAGAGAAAAAAGCAAGGGAGTCTTCCCTCCAGCCCAAGTATTTCAGACACTATACCCCGCCACCTACTTTAAGCAGCCAAGTCACTTTATTGCAAACAGTCGACTTCTTTATGAGGTGTACTTATGAGATCCTGCTGATTATCATAATATAAGAGTGTTGTGGGGAGGGGAAGGGAAGAGGTTAACATCCATAAGGCACATAACAAGGAGCTGGGGTTTGGACTGTATACGTTATTTACCTTTTTGCTCCACTTCTATTTTAAGCATCGGAAGAAAAATAAAAAAGTGCAAGGAAAAAAGAAAGAAGATTAACATAAATTGACTATTAATCTAAAGATTAAATTAGTAACAGACGCTAAATATAGGGAGAATAAGAACTGCACTATATTGGATAAAGAGAAACAGACAACAGGAAAACCTAGCAGGAGAGAGATTCTACGGTTACACAAGTGAACATGGATCAATCATTTTAGTAGATTAAGGAGGCAATACAGATATGTTGGCATGTAGTTTCACTTAGTGAACCTGAGTAAATAATGAATGACTTTGCTAATGCATGCTATACATACTCTTCTTCTTCGCAAAGTATAATGCTGTCAAGTTGGATTTTAAGTGACACATTAATTTATCATATATGTGCGAGTGCACATATACATATTATATTAATTAGATAATTATAAATCCAAAATGCAGTATATTAACTATATAGGTTTGTATGTGTGCTTATTAAACCTTCCCCCCTCTTTGCCCCAGACATCCCTCTGCTTTTCTTGTAAAGAAAGCAGCTTGCATCCTTTAGCTCTCCTTAGGCTTTATTTTATTTCTTTTCCTGAATGTTAATCTTGAGAACTTTTGCCACTTCTTAGTCTATAACTGCAAAATCAGACTACGAGGAGTAAGCAAAAACATCTAGAAAAAAGAAGCAAAAGCACAGTAAGCAAGAGGAAAAGAGAAGAAAAAATTAACATTTAGCTCACTCAGATATTCTCCAGCATCATCGATTAAGCCCGAAACAGCAAGCTAGTATGCAAGGACAGTCATACTAAGCGTTTGAAACAAATATCCATCCCGCCACCGTACATGGAAAATATAAACTGAACCCGATTAACAAAGTTATATTACTACAGCAATTTTTCCCCAAGGAAGTTTTAAGGAACATATTACAGGAAGACATATAGCTGAAGTCCAGCTAGTAAATAGCTTTCCGATAATTATTTGCAATAAAATCTATTTCATATACTCAGTAGCCTTTGAAGTATGCTCCCTTAGTTTCATAAAATGACCTGGAAAATGACAGATGTAACAATCTGTGTAACAGTAGCTGCTGATACCAAGGAAGTGTATCAAAACTATTTGCACAGCTATTACATTTTCAGTATTACGGTATTATCCTGAAGAATGTATTTGTATGTTTCATATAAAGTTTTGGATTTTCAGTTTCATTTAACAAAATTACACATGATTATTTTGAGAGAATGGTATTGGCTGAGCTGATCTAGTGTTTCTTCAGGGAACAATTGCAAAACTTTATGGGGGAGTGGGAGGGGGTTAGTATTCTCAAAATGAGCAGTAGTTTTCCTAGCCTTTGTGCATTTATACATCTTTAGGTAAAATACTTGTTTTTCTGCAATTTGTAATTCTTGAGTTATCTGAGTAAACAGAAGATGTATTCTGAGGTGAATTCCTGTGTTTCACCATCAGTGTTAATGACTTTCAGATGATTCTGTTTCTGAACTTTTATGCATGAGATTATTCCTCGCCAAAGAGCAATATTGATATTGTACCTGCTTAGAATTAGTAATAGGAGAGGGGGGAAAAGATAGGGATAACTAAAATCATTACTGGCATGTCTGCTCTGCGTGCATTGGTGTACAGCTGTACATTTTTCAGGGACAGATGGGCTTATTGAAATAAACAAATGCTGCAAAGTCCAATCAATACAGACAGAGAGAGAATAAAACACTTTAAAACGTTTTCTATTGAATTCCTGAGTCCAAAAAAGGCTTAAAATAAAAATGCACAGATGTACAAAATGGTACTTTTGATGTTCTTCTTTATAAAAGGGCTGACTTCTGTTATTCCGTCAAAGTGTCAACATACATTGTGCAGCATAATTGAGAGAAATGTCAAGTATGGTACTCTCAATTTCTTTGTAATTTAATCGATAACACTTTTATTTTAGGACAAAGCAATGCCTATCAAATTTGTCTAGAATTTTAGGTTTGTTGGCGATCCAACTGAGTATCTCAATAGATTTTTTTTTCTTTTTTAGTAAAGAGGATTAGAAAAACATCAGCAACAGGTCTACACTTTGAGATGCAAAAAAGGAAGCTTTTCATTAAGTACTTTCTTATGAGGGAGATGAACACAGAACCCAGAGATAGCTCAATCAATATGTATGATCAGCAAAGCAGCTATGTATTTCTGGAGGCCAGCAAGACACAGAGCTCATAAACTGCATTTCGTACAAGGGTGACGCCAACTCCAGTGTGTAAGAACTCCCATCTTTTACCACAAAACCTGGACTGAAAGGTGCCACAGTGAAACATAGTAAATTTTGCAGTTTTGCAGTAACTGAAGTTCAGAAAAAGAGCCATAACTGAACTTTGGTTAGAAGTGTTGGGATCACTAAAAATCTCCCTTCCTAGACCCACAGAAGCCTATCCCACCTTCCTAACAACTCTCTTATGCTGGGACAGTCGTTATTTGCAAAACTAATGATTTCAGTCATTCTGTACGTTTAGATATGGAGCACTGGAACAAGTAGGGGAGAAAAAAAATTAGACTTGATAACTGGAGATTATCAGGCATCAAAAAAAAGAGACTTGGCAAAGCTGCTGGATAGGCTTTGTGGGACATGGAAGAAAGATGCTCAACAATCAAAATGGCTACTGAAGCACAATGTGGTTTGAAATCAAGGTTCTAAACTGATTTTAGTAGCTGGCAACCTTTTTGACGACTGCTGGTAATGACAGGAGATACCTCTTACAGTTCTGGAATTGGGCATAGTGTCATCGCTGTACATGCTGCAGTTGACAAACTCCAAAACTTACGCACTTTGAAAGACAAGAAGTATCCAGAATCCTGAGTTATGATAGACACAGAATAACATAATTCAAAGGGTAGGCCAATGCAATTAACAGTAAACAAAAATAAACATTTTAGAAATAGAATAACTACACGTTAGAGTACAGGGAAGGCCGCGCGGTGGCACTATACTTCTGAAAACTGGAAAAGAAAAGATTCCTGTAGATAGCAATACCCAATCGGTAGAACATATCCACACTTCTCTTCCTAAAACAGCATAAAAAATTATGTTTGAACATTATTTGCATTACACTTTTTCTCTATGAGCTAGCCTACTGGAACTGGAACCGTAACCTCTTGTCATTTGACTGACCTCATGGTTTGGAATCAGATGCACTGCCCTCTTTCTGAGAATTTGGGAATGAAAATAGTGCTAAAGTAAAAGTGATCTTTGTGGAACAAAACTTTGGTTAGATTGGGGTAAGACATCACTCCTCAAAAGTGGCACAAGAAGAACGGTTACAACAAGCCACCGATACTACACACAGGAGGAATGGTACTAGGGATCAGTGTATGCAGTAGGCTTCCAATCCTACAAATGGTACAGAAAAAAAATCAGCAAGCAACCATTTCACAATGACACAGCAGAAATGAAGAAAAAACAGATGATCTGTGTTTGGCCTTTAACAACAGCGAAGGTTCAATGTGGTGAAGCAGTACTTGGTTTAAGAAGTCTAAATTTTAAAATTGTGCAGGAAATAGTACGGACAGTTTTGACATAGCTTTGCTTATGCCAGAACTCATTTCCTTCCTTTTTGGATATATGCTGTCACCACAGTGATTTTTGCATCTCAGACTTGGCCTGTTTCCTGTACCAACAGAAAATGTGACTTTGGTTAAGGATTACTGCAGATCAAGAAATTCATGCTTAATAGTAACTTAAGGGAATGATCAGCGAACTGCTCATATTCCATTGCAAACACAGCTATTTCTCTGTTGAGTTACGGGACGAGGGAGAAGCCACTGCAAAGAACGACCTTACAAGAAAGCAAAACCAGTTAAAAGTGTCGAATCTGCAGAACTTTTATAAACACGCATACATGTCAATGAAAAAAAGCATTAATTAATGCAAGGAAATAAGAAGTGTGTCTAAAGCTACTGAATTCTGGCATTAGAAAGAATATTGTCCAAAACTGCTGAAGTAGCCGTAACCTCAAATTTTTCTGTCTCAATATGATTTCAGTGTTTACTTTGTTTTCAGTGAAAAATTCTGTTTTGGCAGCCGATTCAAGGCACAATTCATATTTTCTCTTTACATTAAAAGTGAACTTTTTTTTTCTCACTCTTTTCCCCATCACTTTTAAGAACCAAGTTTGAGTAACTTATTGATGAATTACTCACTCTGAATCTGCATTCATTTATAACGTGCCCCTGAAGCACAAAGTCCTCTTACAATGTCCCCCAACTGGGGCATTTGCCTCTGAGTGTCAGTGTTGGGTTTCGCTGTGCACCCAAAGTCACCACAACAGCAGGTAGCTTTTCAAATAGATCATGATCAAAATTGAAGTCAATTCCTGCTTTAGAAGTCTGTGAGCCAAGCCAATTTGTCAGCAACTGGTAGCGGGCAAAAGTACAAATTTCTATCTGGCCTATTGAATAGCTAATTTGAGTTTGTTTTCTGGAAAAACAGTAGCCTTAAAAGCCAAACACTTAAGAACACAGACAGACACTTGGCCAGCATCACACCATGGCTTCCTTCCACACTTCGTGAAGCTAATTGGAGGCCCTAGTCTGCAAGTGCTCTGCATGCATAATGGGTCTGTGGGCCATAAACATATGCTTCTTTTCCATGTGACAGCACTCCAGCTTTAATTGTGAGGGCCAGAGGAAGTGAGCAAGAATAAAAAGATTATACTTACTGTAAGGAACACATTCATACTGAACTTCTAGATATTTGTATGTTCCAGGACAAGGATCAGGAAACACATCTGACCCAGTAACTACTATACACTGTGTTCTGTTGTTACACCTGTAATGGGAAAAGAAAGCAAGCTAATTAATTTAAAATTACATTTAATTTGCAAGTTCATACTAAAGTACTATATGCAGTGCTAACTCGCTTCACACTTGGGCAGTCCGATCCATAAGACAACAAAGTTAATTAATACTAGATCAGTCAAAGTCCATGAATAAGGCTTCAAGACAGTACTTTAGTTCAGGCTTTATACTTTTAAATTTGGAGATCGATGTTATCTTAAATGTCATTCGATCCCACTGGTAGATATAGCTGTTGCAAATATATACTGATTTGATACTACTGTTCAATAAAATCAAAGCAAAGTGCAAAGATGATACAAAATGAAAAAAATGTGTAATTTTGAATGATGTACAATGATACAAATGAGAAATTCCTTCCATCTTTAGAGCTATACATACTGCTGAATGGTTTTACGTTTTTGTTGTTATTCAAGGAAGTTATGATTTTGGTTGGAAGAGTTATTGCAGACAAGAAGTATTCGCACTTCGATTTTAATTATTTTAGGAGCAATTGGTGGACTCTAAGCTTCCCCTGTTAGGTTACAGAAGAGGTAAAGAATGACTATCTGAGGAAATAAGAAAAACAGTTAAAAATAAGAACTGCAAGAAAATTAATTAAAATATATTTTAGAGGATACTAAATACTGAAACATATATATGACTTGTTTAACAATGGAAGCCAATGCATTTTGATACAAAGAAGAACTTTATTACAATGCCTCTAACCGTGAGGGTCTACTGAATGTAATAGTTTTTGACATTTAAGAAGAATCATAATTATGAGATATTGTAGACTATTTTTCCAGAAAATACTATTTTTTTTTCTATTGGTTTTTCCAGGGAAAAAAAAATTACTAGCTAGCCTGGAAGTTAAAAATAAAAAAATCAATCACCTAACCCTGAAGAGATGGTCAAAATGTAATACAAAAAAAAAAAATAGTCAGAAGGAAGTGGAAGAAAAAAAAGAGAAGGTCAGGGAGTTTGGTGACTAAAAGAAAAAGAGCTTGGCTGATCTTCTCAGGGGTTAGTTTTGTTTGTCAGCAAACTGAATAACAGAAGTCTGAACTTAAGTAATAGTCTAGCCTTTGACTCCAGCTGTACATCAACTTCTCTATTGCCCTACTACTTCCCACACTCCCTGAATACCACATCCCAAGCTAAAATAATCTATCTTCTTTCTATCAATGGCTTTCCACAGCTGTACATTGCCAACAGGTATAAGAATAATTCACGCTGCCTCATAAAAAGTAGAACAAACACACTTGAAAAACTCTGATATACATCACTTTCCTTTTTATATACTAATCAAACTATCACAGCGCTCGTTGGGACATGCTCTGCTTCTTGCTGAGCAAACTCAGAAACAACAACTCTTCTGACTTTATCAGTTAATTCTTCTTTTCTTTTTCCTTTTTCTCTTTTTTTTTAAGTCTGTTTCTAGCTCATAATTGGCTCATAATTGCAGAACTAATTGGAAATAGCCAGGGATTTCTGTATATATGCATAACCATGGATACAGATGGTGAGGAATTCACCTGTCACCACTGTGCTGCTTGTGGCAGTGACTTTCCAGAGAGCACAGGCAGGTCCCCTGTACAGCTATCACACAGGTGACACCGCACCACTCCCAAGAGCACTCTTACTCAGTCCAACAGCTCATGCAGTATACTAGGGAGTCTGGAACGAGTACGACGCATCCAATGGCTTTCAGACCCACACTGCAGCGATGAAACATGCACCCAACTTGCAGAGAAAATCACTCTACTGAAGCTATAATACTGAAAATGTACAATACAGCCACTTTTTGGTACTCACAAGAAGGTCAAAGTGCTGCTCTCGTGTGTGTTGTGTAGGAGGAGGCTGTAGAAGCAGGAGAAGGTAATGTGGCCCAAAACATCAAAGGCATCTCTGTTCTAAGCCCCTTATGGGTTTTTTTATGCCCCACACCTCAGGTCAGGCTAACCAGCATGAGAAAACCTCGGATGTAAGATTTTGTAATTAATTTCCTCAAATGTCTTCCTGTTTCTTTAGTGAAAACCTTATGCTGAAGCCAAAATAATTCCTACAAAAAGACTTTGCGTAATGCATCATTCAGTATAATGGCTTCCACAGCTTTGAGCTGTATGAAAATTTCATTTTACACTTGAATGAGCAGCAATTAAGAGAGAAATATTGATTTGTTACAAAATAAAACGGATACATATTGGGAGAAATTGCTTGAGAATGAAACTGATGAAGGTCATATTTAGCTGTGGAAAAAAAATGTTTACTAGCAGTATTTGTAAATCTTATTAAAAAGATGGACTCTTGTCTCCCCATGAAAAGTTGTTTTCTCCTTTCATTTTCCCCCAGTGAAAGACTCATAATGTTGCCGTCAGTCAGGAAACTGAGAAGAACTTCATGCTAGCTTGTATCGAAAAGATGTATAACAATAATTCAGAAGAAAATGCAGTATTGTTTTCTTTGTACATTAAGTGCCAGTGTCAAACTTCAGGCTCTGAGTGGCATTTACAGGAAGCTGTTGACCTTCTAAAAACTTTTGATATTTCTTCATGCAAGGGTTCACCTGCTGTGCACATGGTCACCTTTTGCTCCCCTTTGGCCAAAACGAAGGAGACTCCAATTCCAAACCAATGAGCTATGCCGACTGCTGCAGTACACAGCAGTGCCACAAAGCACACCACCACCACCTCCCCAAGAAGCACAATTACTTGGATAACTGAATGAATACAAGTATTTGTGCTTGAAGTCATAGCTTTTTACATTCACATCACTGATTCTGCTGCATTGCTGGTTGTGTTTAATAAAACATGAGCAATTTTCATATAAGGTTCTGATTTTCATGCACTTCTATGATTTCAAATTAAGGACCATTGATTAAGATATTCACATGCAAATAATGGAAATCTCAGGTAACTATTTGTTCCATAGTTGGTGGTCAAATTTCAATTCCAGTGAAACCTTCACAAAAACCCGACACCAACTACAGCAGCTGTCAACCCCAATTCATGGGTTACAGAGAAGAGATGAAGAGTAAGTGGACTTTGTAGAGGTAGTTCTGAGACAAGCAATTCAGCGAATTTACACTACTGCGATTTGTTCTCTGGATAAATGAAAGTCTTCTGTCTGCTGCATTGTTCTTTTCCCCCGTAAAACCAGGGATAGTAACTTCTCTGTTAGTTACTGGCCTACAGATCTGCTGCTGCCTGCAACGACCATTTTACAAACTGATAAAGGTTTCAGCTGAGCTTCTTTAAGACAAGAAACACTGAATTCTGTCTGGTATTTTGGACAAAAGATACTCCACTCTCCATAAAAGCAGCAGATTATCCTACACGGCTACAGATTGTCAAAGCTACTGCATCACTGCCACAGCAGAGCTTCATCATTTTGAGAAACCTTTACACTTAGAAACACTACGCCCAATGAAGAGGATATTACACTGTTACAGCCTTCAACTCAATCCTGTGACCCATTTTCATTCCTTTTTGTAATGGGCAAGCCCCTTCTGAGTGAGCCTGCTTCATGGGTCTCTCCAGAACAAGACTATAGTGGAAATAAAGTTCCTGGTGATTTGTAAAATTGGCCTAGACACTATCAAGAAAAAAAAAATAATCCAAAATGCCAAAAACCTTAACTGGCAAATAACTTGAAGTCCCTCATTCATTTTAACCAACGATATTTTTTCTACACAATGTACTGTTAGATTGGTCCATCTATTCAAACTCCTTTAGAATAGTTCCAACTGAAGGCATGTTATAAACCAGCTGTAATTTCTGCAAATTTAAGAAGTCAAATCACAAATACTTTAGTGTTTCAGTGTCTGTAATCTAGCGTTTAAGTTTTCTGTAGATTTTAAGTACCGTGTAAGTGTTCTGTAATCTAGTTAACTGCATACTTCCCTAGCGTATGTTAAAATACGCAAATTCTCAGTTTTTTATGTACAATCTTAAAATTCATATGATCTCACGCCGAGAAATGTCTTCACGCTTAAGACATTCACAATATTCACAAAGATTTATGATACAATGACTTTGTCATTTACAAGGAAATAAAGCAGATCTGCAACAAACTCTATATAAACTCAGTAACAGTTGATTTAGGAAAGGTAATATAGGAATTAAATTTGAAACCCTAGTTAGGAAAAGACTAACTGTAGCACTGAAGGAATGAAAAGTCAAGGTTCCTCTGCTAGCAGCAGCAAGAGTTTTGCAAGGGGAACTGCAGGAAGTATCCCTGTTCTCATGAATGCAAGGAGCAATTGTGTACTCTAACACTCATTTCTTCAGTATTTTAGTATGAATGAAGAAAGGTTACATTTCATAATGCAGATGCATCACTTAGAGTAATCTAAAAATCAAATGGAGTGTTTAATTAACAGTTACAGTACAATGTCTGAACTCCTTTCACCTCAGGAAGAAGACTGTGCAAATGAGGAATGGCCCTTTCACATTTCAGATGAATATAGAAAAAAAGGAAAGTAAAGCAGCTCCAGCAGGGCTGTGAGCAAGTATCTTCTGCTCACGATGTAGCCACGTCCCTGCTGCATCCATCCCTTCTGTGCTCAGCTTTAAGGACAGCTGTACTTTCCATGATAATTTGTTTGCATTTCAACTCTAATCTTGACTTGTACAATTCCCTACAAATTGCTTTTGCTCTTTTTTTATTATCTTATGCTCATTATTGCACTTTTCCACATGCAATGTATGGAGATGAGATTCCATGTGCAATCTATTGTGTGAGGTGTTTTAATCAATAATCTTGTTCTGCTGATTAAGCAGAGGCTTCTGTTTTGGCAAGATAACATTAGTTTCTCCTGTCATGCTCCAAAAGCTATTGGGAATCTTCAGCAGATCATTAGATATGCTACAATAAAGCTTTGGTACATTCTCTTTTCTTTCTTAAATTACTTCTTCACTGTCCTATCATTCCCCGTCACCGCTGGCACTGCATTATTATTACAGCTCCCCTGAAACTTGCACTAGAGCTATG